CATAAGATAAAAGACTGTTTTGGGTATTTGTGGTCCCTTGAAATTCCACACAGATAGTTTTTCTCTTTCTGTGAGAAACCATTTTTGGGATTTTGATAGGGGACAGTGAATGTGCAGATTATGTTGGGTATTATCAACATTTTAATAACATTGTTTTCTAATCCATGAACATGGGATGTGTTTCCACTTATGTCTTCTTTAATTTCTTTAAGCAATATTTTGTAGTTTTTAATGTATGGGTTTTTCAAATTCCTTGGATGCTAATTCCTAAGTATTTTATTTTCTTTGGCGCTATTGTAAATACAACTGTTTTTGCGATTTCCCTTTTTAGATTGTTTAATTGTTGAAATATAGAAATGCAACAGATTTTTGTGTGTTGATTTTGTATCCTGCTACTTTGTGAAATTCATGTACAGTTGACCCTTGAGCAACACAGGTTTGAACTGCACAGGTCTACCCATAGAGATATTTTTAACTGGGGTTTTCTGTGTGAACCCCAATAATGTCTCTCTGTGAACAGAGGGAGTGTTACTCCTTTTCTAGTTTGAATGCTTCATTTCTTTTTCTTTGCCAACTGCTCTGTGTTGGATTTCCAGTACACAGTGGTGTACAGCAGTGGTGAAAGTGCTTGCTCGTTCTTTCCTTGCTTGCTCCTTGATGGTAGGGGGAGAGCTGTCCATCTTTCACCATGGAGTATCATATAAGCTGTGGATTTTTTATAAAAATCATTTTTCATGTTGAGGAAATTCCATTCTAGTCCATGTTAGCGGAGTGTTTTTTATCGTGAGAGAAGGTTAGATTTTTTCAAATGCTTTTCCAGTGTCAGTTAAGATGATCACACTTTTTTTCCTTTGTTCTATTAACATGGCATATTACACTCAATTTATTTTTGTATGCTGAACTACTCTTACATCCCCAGAATAAATCCTACTTGGTCATGGTGTATAACCTTTTTAACATGCTTTTACTGTCAGTCTGCTTGTATTCTATGAGGCTGTCTAAAACTCTGCCTTAGCATTTATCCCCTGCTGTGTAGAGCCCACGGATAGGTAAGAGGTGCCATTTACTTTTAAAAACTGCAACATTGTCATCTTTTTAGTTTCTGATTTAAGGTTTTTTTGAAGATGTCTGATACTATGAAATGATCTCTGATAAAATCAGTTTCCAGAAGAAATCGACTTTGACAGAGAGCAGATGAGCAGTTTCTTACTCTTTCATTAAGTACAACTGTGACCCAAAGAGATCACTTATCAAGCAGAAGGGTTACAGCATCATGTCAAATGTTCCTGGAGCTACAACAGAATCTTGCAGCCCTTATACTCTCCCCTCCTCCCGAAGGAGGTGGCACCATGGTGACTGCCCTCCACCTCACAGGCAGAGGAGGACTCGGATACAAGCCTGCTCTTGTATCTCTGACTCCAGGTCAACCGTTCATAAGCAGGGACACCTGCAACCCGTAGTTATATTCAGACTCCTGAAATGTCACCTTTCCTGACACACCTGCAAGTTGGAGCTCTGTGCTTTCACATTAAGAGGGACTAGTTACTGCTTGGCAAAGAAAAAGATAATTACCATATTTTGCCATATATAATGTGGTTCCATGTATAACGTGCACCTATATTTTTAGTCCAAACTTTCAGGGGAAAAATCTTTTGTTTTAATTTTTTAATCCAAGTATTTATTTGTTTATATTTAGAAACAAAACCGATTATTGTATTCCAGGGTATTATTTTCCATCAGGATACCCTTACTGCTTTCTAGAGTTACACTTTTTTTTAAAATACATATGCCTGGGTCCCACCCCTGGCCAATTACATCAAAATCTCTGAGGGTGGGGTGTAGGCATTAGTATTTTTTTTAAAGATTTTATTTATTTATTTTTAGAGAGAGGAGAAGGGAAGAAGAAGAGAGGGAAACATCAATGTGTGGTTGCCTCTTGTGTGCCCCCTACTGGAGACTTGGCCTGCAACTCAGGCATGTTGTGGGAATCAAACCAGCAACGCTTTGTTTTGCAGGCCTGTGCCCAATCCACTGAGCCACACCAGTCAGGTCTAGAGTTATACTTTTAAAGCATAAATAAAGGAGTTAAAAACACTTTTATAGATACAGAATTAATACTACTCATGTATAATGTGCATCCTTATTTTTTCCTTAAAAATTGGGGCAAAACAATACACATTATACATGGCAAAAAATGGTAGGTAATAAAAGTTTTAAGTTTTGGACTATCTGCACCTATCTTAAATACGGGAGTTGGCAAAAATAGGTTAATAGTTGTGATACAAATAAATAATACAATGATTAATAAATAATAGTACAAGAATAAACTCTGTTTCACGTACTCAATATTGGAAACCTACTTTTGCCAACCCCTGTATTCTTAGTATCACCAGCTACGAGTACAATCCCTATGCTAAATAAGACTTTATACATATAAAGATTGAGCAGCACATATAGAAACAATGTAACAAACTTGAGTTAGCTGAGAAGCTGTTATTATAAACTGATGACAATCTACCTTTCAAGAATCAGAGTTCTGTTCCCCATATCTGGCTTCTATCCAACTCACTAGAAATAACACTGTCCAACAGAAATACAGTGTAAGCCACTAAAATTTTCTAGCCAGCCAAACTTAAAAAGTGAAAAGAAACAAGTTAATCATATTTTATTTAATCCAATGCATAAAAAAATCATTTCAACATGTTATCAACACTAAAAATTATTGAAATATTTCACTTTTTTTCTGTAATAAGTTTTCAAAATCCGGTGTGTATTTTATATGTACAGATTCTCTCAATTCAAACTAGCCACATTTCATGTGCTCAACAGCCAACTGCAATAGTGGCTACCATGCTGGATAGCATAGCTCTAACACCTTCTTTGCTTATCAGACTACTTGACAGGGAGTTAAACCTCACAGCTCCAGTATACAATTGATGGAAATATACATTGTAACTTAACTGGCTCTACTGATGAAAACAGAAAACATGCATACCTTATAAACCATGAATACTACTCTTACCTGTAGGATTCTACTTCTCAACAGAAATGAAGTATTAAGTAAGTATTTGCATAGCCAAAAGACATTTACAAGAATGGTAACACTGTTTGTAGTAACAAAACACTAGAAACTACCAAAAAGTCCATCACTGTTAAGTGAATAAATAATTTAAAGTATATTCACACAACAGAATACCACCCAAGCAATGAGAATAACAAACCATGACTGTGCAATAACATGGATGACACTTACAAATATTGAGCAAGAGAAACCTGACATGAAGGAGTGCATGCTTCTGATGCCATCCACTAAAGGTAAAACAACCAGGCAAAATGTTAAATGTCAGAATAAGTGGTTGCCCTTGAGAGGCAGGTACTGATTTGAAAAGAGTTGTTGGATAAGATTGTTTCTTAATCTGGGTGCTGATTACATAGGTGTATCCATTTCACGAAAATCCATCTTCACACACTCTTAATTTGCATCCTTTAATTATATATTTGTGTCCTCACATTATACTTCAAGATAAAATTTACTACAAAACTCTAACTACTCAAAGAATCTAACTGTTCCATAACTACAGTCAACATTTTTCAAAATACCTTTTGGCTGATTCTGGGATTTCCTAAAAGCATTGAACTCTTAGAAAAACATCAAGAGGACAGTCATGCTGTTCCATTGTGGCCTCCTCACCCAACCAGGAATAAATCCCATTTCCAGGTCTGGGTTCTCACCATATGTACTCTGGCCACAGTTCTAAAAAGGCTGGGTTGTTAAGTCTGTTGCCAACTAATTTAAACACGTTCACATTTCTCTAAACTAACGAAGAACCTTTTAGTTTAAAAAACATTGCTATGAAAACAAACCTTTCCCTGAATAAATATTTTACTGCCCTCTCAACATGCAGGTCATAATTCTTTACTGAAACCTCTCTTTTTGAAATCAGCACACAAAATATTGCCTAATTCCAGATGCATCCACAATAACAACTCTTTCAGACATTCCACCCTTACAAATTGGTCAACAAGCCCTTTAAACCTTAAATTCTTAAGTTTATGATCTAAAGTGTCTGTTGCTAGCAGAGCGTCCTTGAGACAGGAGTAATTTGTTTTGCTCCGTTGAGATTCTGCTCTTAAACCCTGGACAAGAGGCCAAGCTCATGGTAACACAGTTCTCAGTAGTAACGAGATATAGAAAGCAATCAAATTTTGCTTTGGCCAGTAAGAACTGAATTCTGTCCAAAGCCTATTTTTCTCTGCAGAGAGCATCTCTGAATCATCAAACATACATCAAGCAACTAACGAGCATAGACTTGGCATATTTCAATTTGAATACACTAGCTCATGTGATTTATAACAGTGATTATGAAGCTTTAATGTGCAGAAGAACTACTTTGGGATCTTGTTCTAATGCAGATTCTGATTTAATATGTCTGGGGTGGGACCCCAACTCTGCATTTCAAACAAGCTGACGCTACTGGTCTGAGGTCTCAGCTTTGAGAAGTAAACACCTAGGAAAGGGAGGTGGACCATGTATCAGGCCCTTCTTTGGCATGATCAGCCACTAGCTATTTGGTCCATTTGACATCAAGAGTCATTATGGATACATTCAGATCAGGTCATCTGAATACCACCCAGAAACACATCACTATAGAAAGCAACTGTCCTTCCCAATGAACAATTCCTTTAGTGGCAAAAATTTAGACTAAATAAAACTTAGCAAGTAAAAAGTAAGAATAATGTATAAAAAAGTAGGAGAAAAACACAGAGGAGATTCAAATCAAGAAAAGCCACTTTGGGATTAGCACCCATGTGCTCACTTGAAATGCAAGATTTAATGCGAGAACTAATATTATTTTTAAAAAGAGACTTTTCCCCCATGGAAGTAAACATCTAATGCCTCATTTACCATCACCATGATTTGAAGAAATTTAAACAATTTTCAACTTTTGAGATTCTTAAGGTAAAAAGAAAGAGAGAGAAAAACCATTATCCTGACTCACCTTATAAGGGCAAGCAAATTGTCAAGAAGTTTCAGAATCTGTTCTGTACAGGGATTACGGAAGATGGGATTTCCAGTGGGTGTGTAACCCACCACAAACCCTCCAGCTTTGGCCTCTTCGAGGTCGGTGGGCCAACACGTTCGTTTCACAACACCCAGAATGCTATACACACAAAAGCTCATCTACAGAAAAACAAAATGAAAGGTAAACATGAAAGGGGAAGAAAAGACAAAAGTGCTATCAGATATATGCAAGGTTATGGCAAAAGGGATACAAAGATGAGAGAGAAGGAAAAGGCTCCTGCCCCCAACCCTGTCCCTTCCTTTAAGGTCAAGTCCTTTCACTGCCATCTTCAAGTGCAGTGGTAGGCTCTAGAAACTTCTCTGTCATGAGGATGTCCTTCCAGAGGCTACAGTGACCCTCTCACAGGACCCCAATTAGAAAGTGGCTTGGACATGCTTCAAAGCAAAGTATTTAGACAGACAACACTTTATCTTGTTTTTGAAATGACCCTGCAGCCTCCAGCTTAAGCCTTGATAGCCTTTGCCCTAACCCCCCACTCATGGTACTCTCAACCAACCTGTTACCTGCCAGGTTCATTAATGTGATTTTTGCCATAATGGAGACAAGAACAATGTTTATTTGAATAGCAAAAACTGAAAAATCTCAGGTTTGCAAGTTAGGTTATCATTTAGGACTTTACATGCCAGAGAGCAATGGCAGGGAGGACTCACCCTGCTGACCAAGTTCTGACCTACTTCCTCATTACACCTTCAGTCTTCAGAGCTATTTAGAGATCCTTAAAGCCAAAATAATGACTTCATAGAAAAGACCATCTGCTCTGCTGTGGGAACTAACTCAAGAATTCAAGACTAAAGAAGAAAAGAAAGGAGAAGCTTAGGAAAGTGAAGAGCCCAGATTTCTGACCCATACAGAAAAAAATGTAAATGACAACACCCCTACTCCTACCCATGGCAACTTCTACTTCCCATTCCCAGAAAAGGCTGACTTACTCGTGCACGGTTTAAGCCACAGGAATCCTCCAGGGCAGGGTCGCAGCTTTTCCGATCTGCACCCACATAGGCAAGAAATGCATCAACGTCTGACAGCACTCTGAAGGTTAGGGAGAAAGATAAGCTATACCAGGATTTTAAGCAAGGACAGTTTCTTCCACAAAAATTATGGTTATTTGGCCCCAAAAAACAATTTTTATAGTGACAGCAGTTTAATCATATTTTCAGCCTTCATTTGACAAGTTTAAAGTTCTCTTCTCACTTCTAAATGCTATTAGTGACACTTTTGCTCTGGCTGGTGTGGCTCAGTGGATTGAGTGCCGGCCTGCGAACCAAAGGGCCAGCTGGTTTGATTCCCAGTCAGGGTAGATGCCTGGGTTGCAGGCCAGGTCCCCAGTGGTGGGCACACGAGAGGCAACCACACACTGATGTTTCTCTTCCTCTCTTTCTCCTTCCTTTCCCCTCTGTCTCAAAATTAAAAAAAAATAAAAAAGTTACTAGTGACACTTTTAAGAAAACAAGCTTGAACCCTGGCTGGTGTGGCTCAATGGACTAAGTGCTGGCCTATGAACCAAAAGGTCGCTAATTCAATTCCCAGTCAGGGCACAGGTTTAAGTTGTAGGCCAGGTCCCCATTTGGGGGCATGTGAAAGGCAACTGATCATGTATTTCCTGCATATCGATGTTTTTCTCCTTCTCTTTCTCCCTCCCTTACTCTCTCTCTAAAAACAAACAGATAGAATCTAAAAAAAAAAGAAAGAAAAGAGAAAAGAAAAGAAAAAGAATACCAGCTTGGCTCAGTTGGTTAGAGCATCATCCAATAAGGGTTCGATCCTCAGTCAGGGCACATACAAGAATCAACCAATAAATGCACAAATAAGTGGAACAAAAACCCTTATGTTTCTTCCTCTTTCCCCCTCTCATCCTCCCTCCCTCCCGCCTTCCTTTCCTCTGTCTCTCTAAAATCAGTTAGATCTTACAAAATACAAGCTTTGATGGCACTCTCCCCTTTGAGAGCATGCCCGCCTTCCCCTCCTCTTTCCCCAGTGGGGTGTGCTTTCTCCGGAGCACGCCTGTGCCTTTCCCTTACCCCTTTTCTTCCCACCGGGTGTATTACCTTTGTCTCTCTCTCTCTCCTAAGTGCCAAAGACCCTTCTTTTGTCTCTGTAATTTGTTTCCTGGGCCTAAGCAGCCCAGTTGGCTCACATCTACTACCTCTGTAACTTTCTAAATAACCTTTTTCTTATTAAAAATAAAAAAAGAATACAAGCTTGAGAATGCTACACGAGCTCAGATAAGTGTTTGTGTGGCCCCTACTCGGTATAGGCCATTACTGGCTGTTCTTATTTCTCTACATGTACTGGGGCTACAACACAGACACAGCAAGTTTCATGGTGAACTCCCAAACCATACAGTCCGTTTGTTATTCTCCCTCCCTATACCTCTGTCCAGCAAGAGGATATTTTCAGCAATTAGAATAGAGGCTGCTTTCACACATCACTGATTGTGCCATTGTATCTCAACATCTTTACAACATCCTTACCCCTCCTGGGCATTGCCTGCTCTTTTTTTTTTTTGGTTAATTATAGTTGACTTTCAATATTATTTTATATTAGTTTCAGGTATACAGCATAGTTGTTAGCATTTATATAAATTATGAAGTGACCCCCCTGATTAGTCTAGTACCTGCCTGGCACAATATTACTGACTATAACTTCCCTACGTTGCACTTTACGTTCCCATGACCAGCATAGCTCTCGAAACAGAAAGGGTGCTTGAGTGCAGTGCCAGTAAGCAGCAAAGGATGTCCTCTACCTGTGCATGTCTTCAGAAAGCCAGATGCCAGCCACCGGTGCCATCAGCTCCTCTAGGAACATCTTCTGACGCTCATAGTTCTTGAACTGGTTGCTAATGAGAACCAGGGCTTCCATGAGGGCACACTTCTCCATTTGTGTCAGGAGTAGCTCATTGGAGAGGAGTTGTTTCACGTGGTTGTAAAGCATGTCAAAATTGGGCTGCAGATCACAAAGGAAAAAAAATACTAGAGGTGGTGAAAATCTAATTTTCAGGGAGAGATAGTTTTCAAGGAAGCTGGAAGGAAAACCAAGGCATTCATTCCCAAGAAGGTCAGGTCTATAAGACTGTCCTTAGTGATTTGGCTTCCGGGTTCTTTTGTTTGGGCAAACAAGGCAATTTAGGCAGAAGGTGGCTGTCTTGAGTATTTGGGTAACTGCAATTTCCCATACTACAAGTGGGAAAACACTTTATCTTTTTTCTACATCAACTTTTACAGTATAGTATGCTCACAAAGGTCAGTTTGTTTTATACACATACACACTCTCATACAACACTGCTGTGTGTTCAGAAGAGAAATTTACGGTTAATTTGTAATTTGGAGTAGTGCTAAATTTCTTCTAAAAACCATCCAAAAAATACTGGGGTTCACATCTGGCTTCTCTCAAGATTAGCACATCATTTGCTAGTAGTAGTGAAGAACATCACATAGTACATAACAGTAAAGAGGTGTACACTGATGGGAAAAATGTGGTCTCATCCATATGCAAGAGAACTATTTATTTTGAGGGAATATTCTGCACTTTTAACTCCACCAGTAAGTAGAAGATACCAATTCAAGAATGCTTATTTTAAGCAACGACATATTTCCCAGTTTTCCATTTATGTGAGGTAGAAATAAAAATGAATTTACAAAAAAAAAACAAAACAAAAAACCAAACTTGACAAGTCTCCGTGACTACTTGGCCAAATCCAGGGGCTTACCAGTGCAAGATGGGGGTAGTCTCGACATATCTTGATGATGGAGGAACAAGCATGTCTTCTCACGTTCCTCACTGCCCTGGTTCTGGGGGCCTAGGAAGAAATATCCAACAAATGTGGAGCCATTTTTAATACGATTTACAGATGCTGCATATTACTATGTAAATACCTCCTCCAGAGCAAATTCACAGTCATATGTTACAACTGTGTAAAATATGAATATAAAGAGGTGGCATTTACAGTCACCATGAGAGTATGGTTGCCATGAGTATAAAGGGGTGACATTTATAATCACCATGAATCCAAATTTACTGTTTACCCTAGGGTATCTCTAGTACAAAATACTATATCATATGATCATCTCCTGCTTTTACTTACCCTTTCTACAAAAAAAACCCCAAAACAAACAAACAAAAAAACCCCAAAAAACCAAGACTAAGTGTTAAGTATTTATACTTTTGCTCTCAAGAATTTGTTGGTTGAATTAATGGTCTTACCTTACTTTCTTCAACAGTTTCAAAAGTGACAGATGAAAATAGCTAAGGGGAAGGAGAAAAAGGCCACTTATCAGTAAGAACTCTGCAGAGTTTTTTTAAAACAGTAGTTATAAAGTTTCCAACTAAAAATCCCCAAAGTGTTACAATACGGCTACAAAAGGGCTTTCCATTGGTATTACAAAGTTTTGAGTGTTTGTTTTCTCAGTTAAGGAAGAAGGCTTGAGATTCAGAATTTTACCATCAAACATTTTACAAAGATAAAAGGCCACAGAATCCCAGAACAACCCCTGCCATCATGCAAACACCCAGCTGTCATGATGCCTCTTCCTTCTCCACTTTTTATTAAAAGTGCTCTACCTTTCCTAACTTCACTGCATGCATAACTTCCCATTTACTCTTTAACCCAATGCAATATGACTGCTGCCCTAGTCACTATAATGCACTAACACTATAAAGAAGGTTTAATAGAGAAACATAACAGACATTCTCCAGTTCTTAAGAAAATTTCAGTTGCAACAAATGAGTCCACGTTTTGGAAGTTATACTGATCTTTGTCTTACAACATTTTCTCCACTTCTCTGGCTTTTTTTTCTCCTTTGAAGCTTCTTTTTAAAATTTTATTTACTTTTTTTTAGAGAGAGGGGAAGGGAAGGAGAAAGAGAGGGAGAACATCAATGTGTGAGAGATACATCGATCAACTGCCTCTCACTTGCCCCCAACTGGGGACCTGGTCCACAATCCAGGCATGTGCCCTGACTGGGAATTGAACTGGCGACCTTTTGGTTTGCAGGCCAGTGTTCAATCGATGAGCCACACCAGCCAGGGTTCCTTTGTCTTTGCTCCCTCCCCCCAGTGATAGTGATCTCCAGGGTTCTCTGCTTGAGCCATCTAACTCTACTGATCCTCTTCCCTAGGGCTTCACCTCTATTCTTGACACTTACATGATGACGCTGCCTTCAGTTTATCTTATACTCCAAAGTCTAGACCTTTAACCTCAACTAGTCAATTTATTGTGAGGCATCTCTTCAGCTACTGTTTGGAAACACAGTATTCCCAAACAAAACTCACTCCCTCTTCTTCCGTACTCCTCCACTGCCCAATGACCCACTATTCGCCCTCAGGTGGCACTCTCCTGCTCACCTACGCACCTGCACTGGAAACTTCTAACCCCTCCCACCATCCCTTCTCAGACTGACAGAATGCTCTGATTCCCTCTCAGGGGTGTCCAACCTTTTGGTATCTCTGGGCCACAATGGAAGAAGAGTTGTTTTGGGCCACACATTAAATATACAAACACTAATGAAAACTGATGAGCAAAAAAAAAGGTTCTAAGTACATTTATGATTTTGTGTTGGGCAGCATTCATAGCCACCCTGGGCCTCATGCAACCCATGAGCCATGGGCTGGACATCCCTGCTTCTTTTCCACTGTTCAGTGTACATGTCTATAAATTGCAACGCCACACTGGTACATCTGTTTATATGACTTTCTTCCCAAACAGAGTGCTCCTAAGCGATAAGGCTTCCCCTACCCCCCACTATCGTGGTGCCTGATCCACAGTAAGTACAGCGTAAATATTTTAAATGAATAAAGGACTATTTATCAGCTTGTCTCACAGTTTCAAAAGCAATTACATGCATTAGCTTAGAAATGCCAAACTGTTTACAAAGCAGTTGAAATTTACCTTAGAGAAGACCTGGGGTAGAAACTCTGGTCTGTAGGTGACAAATGGAAAGAGTGCTGAGACATCAGTGAGGACACAAGACAGAATGAGAGGGTCCTTAGTGTCAAAGTTCAGGACCATCTGCAATAGCTCTAGTCCATCACTAACAGGGATTTCCTGTAATACAGACATGAAAAGGCAATTGACACGGCTGATAACTTTTCATTTGGACTCTAGTTTGCAAATGCATAATATGGTTGCCATATATGGTCTTATGTACTGTTTTATTTATTTACTTATTTAAAGATGTTATTCATTTATTTTTAGAAGGGAAGGGAAGGAGAGAGGGAGAGAAATCTCAATGTATGGTTGCCTCTCATGTGTCCCCCAGTGGGAACTGGCCTGCAACCCAGGCATGTGCCCCGACCGGGAACTGAACCAGCGAAACCCACCCCCCTGCTTCACAGGCCCGTGCCCAATCCACTGAGCCACACCGGCCAGGGCTAATGTGCCCTTCTTATCATGTTCTCAGCAGCATTGACTCTAAGTCAATGCTCTAAATAAGTACTCTAAAACGTACTTATTTAAAAGTTTTAAAAAAAAAGAGCTTATTTAAATTTACATTTCTTCCATTACTTTTTTTTTCAAATTTATTAACTATTTTAGTTTCTCCTCTATGTATTATCCGATCACATCTTTTACCTATTTCTCCACTGGATTCTAATGTTTTTATCAATTTATATAAACCTCTTACTGTGAAATATTCCAGGCCTTTAAACGGTATAAATAATACTTAAAGGACCCTCCACACAACTTTGAGAAGCGCAACGTCTCTGACAGTGGTTGTTTTGTGCACATAATCTCTTTCTCCGTCACACAGGAGGCCACCAACCTGAATTTGGCTGTTCATAATTTCAGATTCCTTCATTTCTGTATACTTTTATCCCAAATGTACACATTCCTAATTACACAGTATTGTAGATTCACTTTGTAGCTTGCTGTTTTGGGTCAACATGTTTATCAGAATTATTCCTATTCACTGTATAACTCTAGTTCATTTTCACTGGTCTATAATAAATATATTACAATCTAGTCTATATAATATATTGGTGGGTATTAAGTATTTTTCTTGGCTTAAAACACAAGGCCTCTATATTGGTCATTCAGTACACGTGTGGCATTTTTCTGGAGTCCAGACTTAGGGGCATAGTTGCTAGGTTGTCTTCAACTAGATATTGCCAAATTATTCTCCAAAGTTGTGATATCAATTGTACTCTGTAAGTGATGATTAAGAGATAAGTTATTTTTAAAAAAATTCTTACTTGAGGACAAGTAAGTGCTTTTTTCAGTGCTTTTTAGAGAGGAAGGGAGAGAGGTAGAGAGAGACATGGACCGATTGCCTTCCCATATGTGCCCCAGCTGGAAACCAAACCTGCAACCTGGGTATGTGCCACGACCAGCAATCAAACGCACAATGTTTTTGTCTACATGGTGACAATCCAACCAACTAAGCCATATTGGCGAGGGCGAGAGATAAGCCTTTCAGAGTAAGAATATCAACCCCATCCATATTTATTGCAAATACTGTTTCAGGTTTGCCTTTTAAAAGTTTATTTTATAAGTTAAACATATGCAATTAAAGCATTAATTTTTGTGATTACTTTAATTGTTTTTTAACTTTTAAGGACCATTCCCTAAACAGTTAATTTTCCCTAATGCTATTTATTAAATGATCCAATCCTTCTCATTCCTTGTATATGCTCCAGGTTGCTTCTGGGCTACTTTACTCCACTGAACTGTGTCTGATGCCAGTCCCACACTGCGTTAAAACACTGCAGCTTTACATTTTACTAAGGCAAATCAATCTCTATCTTCTTCAAAATGCGATTTTTTCCCCTCCAAAGCTCTTCCCTACATGAATCCACTGCTAAAGCTACTCAAGTAGGGTTCTACCCAATGTTCTTGGATCCATACTACTGGAAATATAAACTCAGCTAATGGCACTATGGACAGATGAGTAGTTTTTCAACCTTTTTAGCCAAAGAAGCTCTCAGTCAAACTCTCACATAATAAAAGCTGACCTACTCTGACTGACCCAGGGTGAGAGTGGGGACTGAGGGCAGGAGCTAGGCAGTCTGTAAAACCATTAGATTCAGGTAATGCTCTGCCAAGTCAGAAATTGTTGGCAACAAGTGGGAGTGCACCAAGCTGAAATAGATCTGTCACTTGCACACTCCTGACACATACAACTGTTACAGCTTCATTAAACAAGCAGGTGAATAATTTAATAGCATTTTCAAACACTCATCTCTCTTGATTAGGAATGCTTATTCTGACCCATCTGCTTTTCATGGGGGAAAGAAAAAGGTCTTAGAGTCAGGTTTACTTTAACTCGTTTATATGCCTAAATACTACCATCTAGGATTCTCCTGAAGAAAAAAAAATTTATTGCTATTTGCTTTTCTCCCTACCAGTGGTTATGAATCTTACCAAATTTCTAATTGTTACACAGTCCACATCTTCCTGGTATATACATTCCAAATTTTTTTTTGTATTTTTAAAAAGGTTTTATTTATTTATCTTTAGAGAGGAATGCAAGGAGAGAGGGAGATAAGTATCAATGTACGGTTGCCTCTCGTGAGTCCTCTGCTGGGAACTGGCCTGCAACCCAGGCACATGCCCTGACTGGGAATCGAACCTCAATCCTTTGGTTCGCAGGCCTGTGCTCAACCCACTGAGCTACACCAGCCAGGGCAATTTTTTTGTATTTTTTAACCAACTAGTATTTAGTATTTGACCAAATACCATCATCTTCAAGGACTCACTGTAAAATTCAATATACAACCAACCAGGCACTCCCCTCTCCCCTCCATTAGGACTACCAGTCCTTTCATCAACTTAAAAACAAGTGCTCGAGCCCTGGCTGGTGTAGCTCAGTGGATTGAGCGCAGGCCTGCGAACCAGACAATCGCGGTTCGATTCCCAGTCAGGGCACATACCTGGGTTGCAGACCTGTTCCCTGCAGGCCAGCTCCCAGCAGGAGATGCACAAAAGGCAACCATACATTGATGTTTCTCTCCTTCTCTCCTTCCCTTCCCCTCTGAAGATAAATAAATAAAATCTTAAAAAAAAAAAACCAAAAACAAACAAAAAAACAAGTGCTCAACAGACCCTGACCATTTCTTTCTCCTGCCTTCAAGCAGGACTATAATCACATATCTGGACCAATTTCAAGATGTCTAACTTAAATCCATGCAAGGAAACAGCAGAGCCATTACCACTGATTTAATAAAGGGCTTTCTTCATTTGCCATACTTAGTAATATTAAGTCCCATCTAAACTTAAAAAATGGCTAACATAGTAAAAATACAGGATCCAAGTAGGGTTTCCCACCTACATTTTGAAATAAACTCAGAATGCCATCATTTCAAACTGAAATGAATATAAAAACAGATGAAGTTAATAACCTTAAGATTTAATTTGTTAGTATGCACTTATAAGAAAAAAAAAAAGATATCCCCCCTTTCTTCAAGAAACTTAGCTTCTTTCTACAACTCAGAATACATTAAAATGTAATTAACACCAAATGAGTGATCCAGTCATTTAAATTTAATTAATGTTTTATATATATATATATATATATACACGCTGTTATCCAATTCATTATAGCTTCACCTAACGTAATGTTATAAGAGGGTGATAGGTGACACGAAGTATAGAAAAAAAAGAACTATTTATTTAGTTACTCAGAGAAGAAAGCCATTGATCATCCAACATGAATATTCTGGTCTATCTGCCATAAACTGAAAAGAGGCTTAATGGCAACTATCTCAAGATTCTCCAATTCAAGGTGTGGAATAGTTATTCTACCTGTGATTCAATGTACTATTAGGCTCATATTGTCCCTTTATTTTTATTTTATTTTATTTTTTATTTAGTTATTTTTCAAGTACAGTTTTTTGTCTATTTTTCCCCCACGCCTTACTCCCCACCTCCCTCCCATTTCCACCCCCCTTAGTTCTCGTCCCTGTGTCCTTCCTATTTGTTCCTCCAAATCCCTCCCCCCTTTTCCCCTTAACTTCCCTTCCTTCTCCCCTCTGGTCACTATCCCCTTGTTCTCTATTTTAGCGTCTTTGTTTTTTTTTCCTGCTTGCTTGTTTGTTTTGTTGTTTAGCTTCCTGTTAAAGGTGATATCATATGGCATTTGTCTTTCAGCACCTGGCCTATTTCACTCAGCATAATGCTTTCCAGTTCCATCCATGTTGTTGCAAAAGGTAGTAGCTCCTTCTTTCTCTCTGCAGCATAGAATTCCATTGTGTATATGTACCACAATTTTTTGATCCATTCATTTACTGATGGGCACCTAGGTTGCTTCCAACTCTTGGCTATTGTAAATTGTGCTGCTATGAACATTGTGGTGCATAGGTTCTTTGATATTGATGTTTTAGGATTCTTAGGATATAATCCCAGCAATGGAATTGCTGGGTCAAAAGGCAGGTCCATTTTTATTTTTCTGAGAAAATTCCATACTGTTTTCCATAGTGGTTGTACCAGTCTGCAATCCCACCAACAATGAACTAAGGACCCCGTTTCCCCACAACCTCTCCAACATTTGTTGTTTGTTGCTTTGTCTATTATAGCCATCCTGACTGGTGTAAAGTGGTATCTCATTGTGGTTTTAATTTGCATCTCTCTGATAGCTAATGATATTGAGCATCTCTTCATGTGTCTCTGGATATTCTGTATGTCCTCCTTGGAGAAGTGTCTGTTCAAGTCCTTTTCCCATTTTTAATTGGGTTGGGTGTCTTCTTAGAGTGGAGTCGTGTAAGTTCTTTGTATATTTTGGAGATTAAACCTTTGTCTGAGGTATCATTGGCAAATATGCTTTCCCATAATATTGTCCCTTTAAAATGAATACTAAACATTGTAGGGCTGAGAGTCAGACAGACCTGAGTTAGCTCTGCTGCTTAATAGCCACTGAATCTGAGTGTGTCATTTAACCTTTCTGAATCTCATTTTCCTCTTCTGTAAGATGCACATCCACAGATTTTCCTACCTCTCAGTTTTCAAAACATCAAAATCATTACACAATCAGCATTGGAAAGAGTTACTTACTTCTTTATCTAGTATTCGAAACATCTGGTTGATTACACTTTCCAAAAAAAAGGTCATGGCTTCCCACTGCACAAATGAAGGGGAGAAGATGGAGCAGAGGCCACCTTCCCCAGTTCCAGCTGTAAGAAAACAGGGTTTTAAAACACACTCCCACACATCAACACTGTAGGTAGGATCACAAAGACACAGAAAGAGAACGGGGTCTTAGAGAGACCACCTGGTAATTTCACAGTCAAAGGTACAAAATAATCTAACCCCTTGGTTTGGGAAAAGAACAAAAAAGAAAAGGAGTCTATTCTGCTTCTACATCTTAGGACGAGCTGTCTGAATTCAGGTCTGAAAGCCTTGTCTATAAAACCATTTTGAGTACTGAGTATACATGTAGGACTTCCGCCAAGATGGAGGCGTAGGTGGAAACACTGCCTTCTCCCACAACCAAGTTTAAAGACAACAAAAGTTTTAGTAAAAAAACAAAACAAAACACAGAAAATTGAACTATACAGAAGTTCGACAACAACGAACCCTTCAGCCAGACTGGTAAGAGGGGCGAAGCCAGCGACTGGCGGAGAGGGGTCGCACAGGAAAACTTGGTCAAACCCACCCAGGCGCGTGGGCGGTGGTTGGCAGATCCCAGGCGTGGGGTTGCGAGGGGCAGACCCAGTGAGGGCACAAGGCAGCAGGCTGACTGCGGTCACACATTCGTGCGCAGATAAATTAGTGAAGGAGCGAGCATTGAGACAGACCGAGCTGGCTCCAGCGACAGGAAGCAGCAGAGGGGACCACTGTTGCCCTGCTCCGTCCCTGCCCCCACATACAACGTTACAATCCAGTGACCTGGGTGGCCCCGCCCTGGTGAACACCTAAGGCTCTGCTCCTCATACGTAACAGGCAAGAACAGACCAAAACATGGCTCAAGAAGAACTCAAAGCCCCAGAGCCTATAACTCTAAGCAACCAAGAAATAGCCAAACTTTCAGATGCAGAGTTCAAAACATTGGTGATCAGGATGCTCACAGAACTGGTTGATTTTAGTTAAATTAGAGGAACATATGAAGGTTAAACTAATCGAAATGACAGGAAATGCACAGGAAACCAATAGTGATGGAAAGGAAACTGGGACTCAAATGAAGGGAGTGAACCAGAAGGAAGAAAAAAATGACCAAACAGAAAAGAATGAAGAAACAAGAATTCAAAAAAAATGAGGAGAGGCTTAGGAACCTTCAGGACATCTTTAAACGCTCCAACATCTGAATTATAGGGGTACCAGAAGGGGAAGAGGAACAGCCACCAGTGGAAACCTTATGTGAACAAATAATAAAGGAGAATTTCCCCAATCTGGCAAAGGAAATAGACTTCCAGGAAATCCAGGAAGCTCAGAGAGTCCCAAAGAAGTTGGACCCAAGAAGAAACACACCAAGGCACATCGTAATTACATTAGCCAAGATTAAAATGAAGAAGAGAATCCTAGAAGCAGCAAGACATAAGGGGACAGTCACCTACAAAGGAGTTCCCATCAGACTGTCAGTGGACTTCTCAAAAGAGACCTTACAGGCAAGAAGGGGCTGGAAAGAAGTATTCCAAGTCATGAAATCCAAAGACCTATAACCAAGATTGCTCTATCCAGCAAAGCTTTCATTTAGAATGGAAGGGCAGATAAAGTGCTTCTCAGATAAGATCAAATTCAAGGAGTTCATCATCACCAAGCCCTTATTATATGAAATGTTAAAGAGACTTACCTAAGAAAAAGATAAAAAAGATGAACAGTGAAAAGACAGCAAACTCACAGTTATTAACAACCACACCTAAAACAAAAGCAAACTAAGAGGACAGCTAGATCAGGAGTGAAAACATAGAAATGAAGATCACATGGAGGGTTAGCAACAGGGGAGTAGGAGAAGGAGAAAGGGGGAGAAGGTACAGAAAATAAGTAGCATAGATGGTAGGTAGAAAATAGATAGGGGGAGGGCAAGAATAGTATGGGAAATATAGAATCTAAAGAACTTGAGACACGTGGTCATAAACTAAAGAGGGGGAATGGTGGGGGGGGCTGCAGGGTGGAGGGGAATGAAGGGGGGAATAGAACAACTGTAATGGTATAATCAATAAAATAAAAAAAACAAACAAACAAAAAAAAAACAAAGACACTGAAATAGAGAACAAGTGGACAGTACCAGAGAGGAGAGGGGAGGGAATTTCAGGGGGGAAAAGGGGAAGGATTTACAAGAGCTAATATAAAGGAGGCATGGACAACAACTAAGGGGGGCGGAAATGGGAGGGAGGGGGGAGCACTGGGGGGTTGGGCTGGGATGGGAGTAAAAACCAGAAAACTGTATTTGAAAATTATTAAATTAAAAAAATAAATTTTGAAAAATAAAATAAAATAAAATAAATTTTGGATATTAACCCCTTAAAAAAAAGAATATACATGTAAGCATCAAAAACAGTGCCTGGCCAATTAGAGGCAATCGATAAATATTAAGTTCTCCTTTTCTCCTTCTTTATAATCTGCCCATGAGAATATAAATAATTAAGGTATTTGAGACCATAAGTAATCCTTACAGCAAGCAACTGACATAAGATACAAAATGCTGCTTCACATCCAGTAGATTCACATCCTCAGGACAATTGCAAAGGCTACGTCTAGAGAACTGGGACACCCTGCAAGATCACAAGTATCACCAAGCCACATCACTCAACCGGCAGGCAAAAAGAATTACAAATTACTTTTCTTGCTTCCATTAGTGTTTCCATTTACTAGCTTCATCTTGGCGTAACATATAGAGCCTCTGCAAACATCTGTGTTACTAGATGCCAAGGACCTTCAGATCAATGCTGAATATGCAAAACTGAATGCTAAATCCCTTGATTGTCAAGTAAGTATGTACTCAGTAACTGACCATTACTATGGACCTTTTTTAAAGCAGTGATTCACAACTCTCTCCAGCTTTATAAATCGTTGTCACTCATGGCGCGCATTAAGGACAGACAGAAGATATGGAGAACAGAGAATTTACCTTGCTTATGCATTTGGGTAGAGGAGGGTAATTTTGATTTTACATAAAGTGGCATTTTCCCAAAGGCTTTGAGGTAGCTGAGTGGGAAGCCCTTGTTTTGCTCCTGTTATGCCTAACAAGACATTCTTTCTGATTTTTAGGAATGGTGCTATGCAAAGCTTGGTCGAAAAGCTTTAAAAAGTTAAGCACAGACATGCAATCTAAGATAGTACCTGAAGTGAAGTAATAAAATTAACAGTAAACAATTAGTTGATTATGTTAAAAAGGAAAAGTGAAAGCAAAACCCAACATAGATTTACTCTAAACAGATAAAAAATTTGGTGTTACTTGCTTTCTCTGTGTACAAATAAAAACACTAGAACTGGGTAGTGAACAAAGCTATTTTTGAATACTATCAGCATATTGTTCTGAAGTATGATTTAGGAGGTTTACTTTCTATGTTCAGTTTTGATACACTATTTCACTAGTGTTCAGACATTAAAAATAAACTTACAGTTTATGGATGCAGTATCAACAGAAGTTGACAGCTGATATTTTAGCCATTCTCCAGCCATTTGGAAGCTAGTCTTGGGATCCAAACGACATGCTAGCCTCATTACCTCTCCCTGTTGGGCCCGGGAAGCTGCCAAGAGAAAGACAACTCTGGTAACTGGTATCTAATAGGTACTTAGTTAATGTTTATTCAGTTAACCAACCCAGGGGAAAATGTTCAAAGAAACTGTTTTTGTAGACTCATGCTTTGAATGTAACAAATACTCAGTAAAGCTTTGTTAACAAATCCAGACATTTTCAAAAATCATCTCTGGAAACTGCCCTATAAACTAGATCCTGTAAGTGGCAAACTAAAAGTGGCCTCCCATTTCTGTTGGAATTGAAAGTATAGGTTGGTACAGATGTAAAATGTATGACTGCTGTGGAAAACAGTCTGGCAGTTCCTGAAATCATTAAACATGAAATTACCATATGATCAAGTAATTTCCTTCCTAGGCATACACCCAAGAGAAATAAAAACACATGTACACTAAAAAACTTGTATTCTGCCCTGGCTGGTGTGGCTCAGTGGACTGAGTGCCAACCTGCAAACTGAGGGGTTGCTAGTTCAATTCCCAGTCGGGGCACACGCCTGGGTTGTGGGCCAGGTCCCTGGTGGGGGCACCTGAGGGGCAACCATATGTTGATGTTTCTCTCCCTCTTTCTCCTTCCCTTTCCCTCTCTCTAAAAACAAATTAATAAAATCTTTAAAAAACAAAAACAAAACTTGTATTTCAGTGGTGTAGCAGCATTATTCTAAATAGCCAAAAAGTAGAAACAACTCAAATATGCATCAATTTATGAATGGATAAATAAAATGTATACATCCATACAATGAAATATTGGTAATAAAAAGAAATGAAGTACTGATACATGCTTCACCATAGATGAATATTAAAAAATTATGCTAAGTAAAATAAAGCAGTTATAAAAATAACACATTGTATAATTTCATTTATATGAAATGTTCAGAATATAGAAATAGAAAGTGAATTGTGACTGCCCAAGGCTGGGAAGGAATAGGGGATTGGAACCTGACTGCTGAAGGGTGCAGTGTTTCTTGAGTCATGAAAATGTCCTAATATTGCGGCGATGGTTGTACAACTCTGAAAATACTAAAAAGCACTGAATTGTATACTACAAATGGATAAACTATATGGTAAATAAATTACATCTCAATAAAGCTGCCATTTCAAAAAAGGAGGGGGAACCAGGCTATAGAAACCCAGAACATAATTAGCATATGAAGTTATATGGGGTTTTCTTTTCTTTCTTAAAATACCCACAAGGTGAGATTGTATTTAATCCTGAGTTTAAAAAAAGAATTCAAGACTTACATACAATTACTATCTTCTAAAAATTAATGTCCAAAGGCCATTATGTGTGTGTGTGTGTGTGTGTGTGTGAGAGAGAGAGAGAGAGAAAATGCTAGGTTTTTGAAATAAGTGCAATCCCAGCACCCTCTGCAATATGAAACTAGAGCTTAAGTAGACTGCTATCTGAATTTGGGGCTCTTGAATATAGAACCCCAGGGGTCATGCATCTTGATTCACAACACTAGACACTGCTGGAAGAAATTCCGGGTCACTTACAGTTGAAGAAAGCATTGAAGTCCTCATCACTGTCAAAATCAAATCGAGAATATTCACAGCTAGGGCTGTCTGTTTTAGAAGGAAAGCCCATCTGGAAAGAGAAAGATAGTCGGGGGAAGGGGTGAAAAGTGACCTACCAAAAGAGCCTTGAATTGCAGGAACTCAAGCACTAAGAAGAGTTAGGGTTTACATGAGATATTTTATGATAAGTAACTGCTCTGGCCCTTCAGCCATGTGAGGACACAACGAGGAGATGGCCACTATGAACCAGAAAGTGGGTTCTCATCACACCTGAGTCTGTCAACCCCTTGATCTTTGACTTGCAGCCTCCAGAACTGTGAGAAATAAATGTGTTTACGGAAAAAAATAAGTAACTGCTTCTGTTCTATCCCAAGTCCATAATATGCTCCTGGTTCCAATAATCCTAAGAGTGGTAGAAAAGAGAACACTTTCATTTAATAGTCTTTTCCAGATTCCTCAGGGAGAATTTAAACGCTGGAATTTGTTAAGGGTTTGAGTACAAAAATGTCCCAAGACAAAGTGCTAATACAGCATGAAGTCAGTAAAATGAATTGAGAATTATTTGTTTCCTTAAATGTTGAACCCTGAGAATAAGCATGGAACTTTTTATGTTTCATTCAAAAAGTAAAGATGACCATGGCAGACAAGTAGGGCATAAGTGCTATGTGCGAATTAAATTCCTTGAAGAAATAAGGGGACCCTTGAATGGGCTACATACTCTGATTTTACATATCAAGATTAAGCATCTGTCAGCTGCAAGAGCCCTTAGTGGATCTCACGGAATTCATAAGCAACTTTACTGAGGTAGTGAGCAATTTGCTTCTCCTTTCCCTCCCTTTTCATTCACCTTCCTCTCACTTGACCTTCAAAAACAATCAGATATTAATTCCTCTTGGAATCTTCACTCCACCCTCCTTTCCACTTTTAACCTCTGAAAAGCAATTACCCCACTGTATGGTCATGGTCATGGTCACTGCTCTTGCCCTATAGCTCCTTTTACTTAGCATCTAGTCCAACAGGTGGTATATAAGTGCTCCAAGATAGAAAGAATAGATATAAATAATCAGTATGGACTGCTTTCTTCTTGAAGAATAAGAGAATATATCCAAAGAAGGGATCTTAGTGACCAAGATAAAGTTGGCAATGATGGCAGTCTAAGTCTTATTATGTGTATTCATCTACATTCCACATTTAGATTCCCACTGCATACCTTGACCAAGTTCGTCATAGAAGCACGAAGATATTTTGGTATTATTGCTAATAGCAAAGGGTCATGGGATAGGATCTCATGCCGGAAGAGGGCTCCCCAAGTCATCTGAGTTGAAGAACGTAGAAACTAAGAAAGAAAAGTAAAAGTAAAATCTGTCTGCTAATTGCTGAGGGTTGGGTGTTGTCCTGCAAACTGAAAGGTGGCCAGTTCACTTTCTGGAAAGGGCACATGCCTGGGCTGTGGGCCAGATGCCCAGTTGGAGGGCATGTGAGAGGCACTTGAATGATATTTCTCTTGCACATCGATGTTTCTCTCCCTTTTTTCCTCCCTCCCTCCCTTCTCTCTCTAAAAATAAATAAATAGTCTTTTAAAAAAATCTGTTTAAGAATTTGGATTTTATATCATCAGGATTGTTACTTAGCCCAGCAATTATCAACCATATTTTTTCCATGGATATAAACCACTATAATACTTTGAACTGTCCATACTATATACATCAGTAATGACCAACTGCTCACTATGTACCACATGTTAATGAGACAGACTGTGGGTCAGGTAAAATTCCTGGAGTGTCAGCTGGAATCTACTACTTTCTCTTTTATGCAAGAAAGGTTATAGGAATCTCAGGTGATATTATAAGAAGAATCTTGAATTGGATGGAGTTAATTTATATTTAAAATATCTTTAGTAGCAAATCACCTGGGACATACCTCACGTGATTGAGCATTATCAAAAGGATACTGATATTTTCCCTTCCTTTTCCCCAAAAGGAGGGGGAAAAGCTAATGACCCTGATGGTGCAATCCTGGTTGAGGAAGACAATTAGGCAATTCTCTTAATGAAATGATACTCTAGCTATTTTCTAGGGCCTTAAGAGTCACATTTTATATATGAGCGGCTAATTACTTCAGGCAATAGTGCTTGGTTTTGGCTTACCTAACTAAAATTTTTGAAAAGTTACCTGCATAAAATTTACCTGACTTGGATGCGTTGTGAAAGCAAGAAAAGATTCCAGGTATTTCCCAAAGTTTGCTGGTGTTTCTACATTAGAATCCACACCCTGTTGGACAAAAAGTCCATTACATTAATGATACTGATTAGGCGAGGGGAGTGGGAAGAGTGGAATAACAAATACAGATACCTTAAACCTGCAAAAATTTCAGTTTTGAAATGACTACGTACTTCCTTGTGGTCTGAGGAAGACCTCACTTGAGGGTTTAAAAACAGGAAAGCCACTTTATCTCCTTAATCATCATCATTAAAACCCACTCTGGGCCCTGGCTGGTGTAGCTCAGTGGATTGAGCACGGCTTGAGAAATGTGTTCGCTCCCTAAGTTTGTTATTCACTTTCATCAAATAGTAAAATTAAAAACAGTATTCGTTTCAGAAATCACAGAGAGAAGAAATCCGTATTATCTCTTTATATCTGGTCTATTCACATCTCTGTGACCCATTAAATAACTACTCAATGGTATATCTTATGTCTGAAGCTCTATCCTCTAACTATTCAAGCCACCATAAAAAAGAACAATATCAAATATAAATATCTGTATCAATATCCTATCTTTCAATTTGTAAAAAACTGAGTATCAAATACTTCCCTAAATATAGGTATTTATAGGTAAATCAGAATTAAGTTTTCTTTTATGATCCGATAATAGGTCCTTTAGATTTATGGAAGGGGTTCTTTATTCAAATCCATAATGTTTCCTAATCTAATAGGACTTTCAGGAATAGTACACTCAGCAGACTGATATTTTACAAAACATTACAAGAATACCAATGCTGACTTTATGGCATAACATATGTGGATGTTTGCTGTTGATATTAATAACTGACCTGATAAAAAATTTATATCATTTAAACCTTATTAAAAAAATTTAATCTGTAGAACCACATGAAATAATCTTCAGGGCAATGCTCCATGAGGCTAAAATCAATGGCATGTGTCAGCCCCAATACAAATATAACTTTCTAAATGCTCTCCTCAAACAGCCCTGAAACGCTCCAGAAATTGGGAAGTACTCACCAGCAATGCACAGAGCTGATTGCCCAGAGCACATAGCACCTGACAGAGTCTCTTCAGGAAAACATAGTGTTTTTCTACCAAGCCTCCTCCATCAGCAGTCCTGTAAGATGAAAAAATAGTGTGATTAGTTGCACATCAAAAGAACCAAAGGGATTCCCAACAACTGGAAATGTATGCGGTCTGTGCTCAACATTCAAATTTGTTATTAAAGTTAAAAACAAAACAACCAAAAAAGTCCCTCCAAAACTGAAAGTTGAAGAACAGTATTCAATGCAGTCTCATCCCTTAAGAGACACTAATTTGGGGCATCATATGGTCCTTGGGTATTCTGGAGTAGTAATGTAAATTCTGAGCATGACTCCAGAGATCACTGTACATACTTATATATTAAAAAAAAAAAGAAGCTGCCCAAAAGCAGCTTTGGTTGCTCCCTAGGTATTGGTTGATAACCAGGGAGAAGTTAGAGAGAGATCCATAGGGGAGCATGTATGACATTTCCTTATACCACGACAAAATTTAAAGGACTATAATCAAGAGAATGAAAAACAAGCCACAGACTTGAGAGAAAATATTTGTAAAAGACACATCTGATAAAGGGCTATTTATCCAAAATATACAATAAACTCTTAAAACTCTGTAGTAAGAAAATAACCTTACTAAAAAATGGGCTAAAGATATTTCCTCAGATACACAGATGGCAACTAAACATATGAAAAGATGCTCTACAGACTTCTGGTCAAGATGGCAGCATAGGTAAACATGGCTCACCTCCTCACACAACCACATCAAAATTACAACTGAATTATAGAACGACCATCACTCAGAACCATCAGAAATTGAGTTGAATGGAAGCCTGACAACTACAGAATTAAAGAGACCACATGCATCCAGACTGGTAGGAGGGGTGGAGAGGCAGTACAGGCTGGTCCCACATCCACATGTGCTGGATAAAAATTCAGGAGGTATGTCTCAGAAGTGAGGAGTCCCAGCCCCACACCAGGCCCACAACCCAGGGTTGCAGTGCCAGGAAGTTAAGTCTACATAATTTCTGGCTGCAAAAACCAGCAGGGATTGAGTTGGTGGAGAAAACTGCTGGAGCTCCAAGCAGTTCTGAAAGGATCCACACACAGACTCACCTAACTCAGACTCACTTCCTCTGAGCTCTAGCAACAAGCTAGCAGCTTGAAAGGCACTAGTGGCATATGGGAAAGAACTGAGTGTCTGGCATCAAGGCAAGAGCTGGGGGACAGCTTTCTCCCAGACAGAAAGGCACACGGGGGTGGGGGGGTAGGCTGGGATGGGAGTAAAAGACAAAGTACTTTAACAATAATTAAATAAATAATAATTTTAAAGAGAATACAACAACAACAAAAAAAGAAAAAAGAAAGGCACAAAAAGGCCATTATACCTTTTTTGAACCCTCCGCCCCACAGAGGCATGGAGCTGGCAGGCTGCTATGTCTGAGACTTTATCAACCTGGCTAACACTGTTTGCCCCACCCTGGAGATCCCAAGGAACTGTCCTACTGTTGGGAGCCGCCCTGCCTGGTTTCAGGAGCTGTAACCCCCCCATGGCCAAGGCTGAATGAGCGACCTTCGGACCATAAGCTACTAAGGAGACAAAGCTTATGTCCCTGGCAGGAGTGCTGCTTCTACTCCTTCATCCATAACTGGCCCCCAATGCTTGATGAGTTAGCCAATGACAGGTAAGATTCCCCAAGGGGGGAACCACCTAAGACAAGCATGATCACGTGGAGGCCCCAGGGAAGGACTTGGGGGGCTATGGAGAAAGGGGGTGATGGACTCTTGCCCCTTAGCTTTGACAAAACCCGAGTCCTCATTCTGTCTGCGAGAAGTCTAATTTCTTGGCCATCTTGACTCCTCTGCATGACTTAAGCCTGCAACAATGACAGAGGGCAGTGCAGCCCACTGCTACAAAGGGCAGGCTCCCTGGGACATCAGGCCTGAGAAAGAATATGTAAAATCCTGTGAAACCTCCTTTGCTAAGAATGCTTTTAATTAAATGATAAAGGTCCGAGCAGGAAATGAGTTAGTTTCCCAAAGTTTTGTAGCTGATAGACCCTGACTCAGAAGAAGTTCTCTGTTCTTCTGAGTAGTCTAATAGTTCTTTGTATGCTATCTATTGTTTGATCCTTACTGCCTGACAATGATTAATGGGCTATACCTGTATTTCTGTGCAAATTAAACCCAATAAAAGCCTGTCTTGGCAATGGCGTGCAGTGCTCTCCCCTCAAGAGAGTGGCCTGCCCCTTTTCCTCCACAAGACTCGGTAGTCCATGTGAATTTGTCTCGAATCCCATCCATAACACCGTGTATACTGCAGGATGGTGCATGCGTCATCACACCAAACTTACTACTATTAACAGTGGCTTTTCCACATGAGTGGTTGGTCTTGGGTCAAGCTTCACAACTTCCCAAATTCTCTCAAACAAGTAAAGCTGGTATCGTGAGCCCTCAGCCCTGTATATCTAGCTAAGTGGCCCCATGCACGGCACTAGCAGTAGCTGGCTTAGATGCATAGCTTGGCTTCCACTGGGAATCTCCAAGCCCAGCACAAGTAGTAGCCATCTCAGGTTGCTTTACAGTTTAGGCAGAGTAGCCCTAGCAAAACACAAGTTGGGGTGGACCTTGGCCTGCACCACTCAGGAAACTCTAGGGCCTGAGCACCCACTGGACAGCCATAGACCATATCAGAGCTCTGCACAGCTGATCCTTCACAGAGGTTGGTAGTCTGTGGTCATAGCCAGTTCTTGCAGCTGACTGGAAAGTAAATCCCTCCCACTGACCTGCCAACAGCATGAAGGATGCACCTGAAGTACCCAGCTTGGATGAGAGGCAAGGCTGTGCCACTGGACCCAACAGGACACCTACTACATCAGGCCACACTAACAAGACATGGAACCAAAGCAGCTCTGCACAGAAACAATGACAGGGAGACAAAGAAATATGGCCCAATGAAAAAGAGATCAAAACTGCAGGAAAAAAACCTAAACAAAATGGAGATAAGCAATCTATCAGATGCAGAGTTCAAAACACTGGTTGTAAGGATGCTCAAAGAACTTAGCGAGGACCTCAACAGCATGAAAAAGATCCAGTCAGAAATGAAGGATACACCAATTGAAATCAGAAACAGTTTACAGGAAACAACAGTTGAGTGAATGAAGCCGAGTCAAATCAATGACTGGGAATATAAGGAAGAAAAAAAAACAACCAGTGAGAACAAGAAGAAAAAAGAATCCCATCCCCTCCAAAAAAAGGGGATAGCATAAACAGTCTCTAGGACAACTTCCAGAGGTCCAAAATTTGCATCATAGGGGTACCAGAAGGAGAAGAGAAAGAACAAGAAATTGCAAATCTATTTGAAAAAATAATGAAAGAAAACTTCCCTAATTTGGTGAAGTAAACAGACATGCAAGTCCAGGAAGCACAGAGTCCCAAAACATGAATGTAAAGATGCCTACTTCAAGGCACATCATAACTAAAATGCCAAAGGTTAAAGATAAACAGAGAATCTTAAAAGCAGTAAGAAAAAAGCAGTTAGTTACATGCAGGGGAGTTCCCATAAGACTTTCAGCTGATTTCTCAAAAGAAACTTTGCAGGCTAGAAGGGACTGGCAAGAAATATTTAAAGTCATGAAAAGCAGGGACCTACAGCAGCTAGGATTGCTCTACCCAGCAAAACTATCCTTTAGAATTGAAGGGCAGGTAAAGAGCTTCCCACACAAGAAAAAACTAAAGTTCATCATCACCAAACCATGATTATAAGGAATGTTAAAGGGTCTTATTTAAGAAAAAGAAGAAGATCAATAAAGCTATGAACAATAAAATGGCAATAAATACGTATCTATCAACAACACAACTGAATCTAAAAAAGAAACTAAGTAAATAAGAAGAACAGAGACAGAATCATGGATCCTGAGAGTGTTTTGATGGTTGCCAGATGGGAAAGGAGTATAGAGGGATGAGTACAGAGGTAAGGGATTAAGAAGTACAAGTAGGTAGTTACAGAATAGCCATGGGGATGTAAAGTACAGTACAGGAAATGGAGTAGCCAAAGAACTTATAAGCATAACCCATGGACATGAACAATGGTGTGGGGACTGCCTGAAGCAGTGAGAGGTGCTGGGTGAAGAATGGCAAAGGGGGAAAAATTGGGACAATTGTAGTAGCACAATCAATAAAATATAATTTTTAAAAAAGGAAAGAAAAGATGCTTCACAGGTCATCAGAGAAATGCAAATTAAACAACAAAACACTGCACAACTATTAGAATGGCCAAAATCCAACAATGAAAACACCAAATGCTATCAAGAATATGGAGCAATAGAAAATCATTATTGTTGGGAATGGTATACCGACTTTGGAAGACAGTTTAACAGTTTCTTACAAAACTAAGGATACATTTCTCATATAATCCAGCAATGGCCCCTCCTTGGTATTTACCCAAAGAAGTTGAAAACTTGTGTTCACACAGAAGCCTGCAGCTTTTATAGAAAGCTTTTATAGTTAAACTTGGATGTCAATAGCAGTTTTATTCATAATCCCCAAAACTTGGAAGCAACCAAGATATCCTTTCATAGGTGAATGGATAAATAGAACCTGGTACATCTAGACATGAGATATCATTCAGTGCTAATAATCTATAGAAGATAAAACACCAAAAGTAAGGTAAACTATGTTTACCCTAAGGTAAACTATGGAATTTGGATGATTTTCTGTGTCAATGTAGGTTCGTCAATTGTAACAAATGTACCACCCTGGACAGTGATGTTGATAAGGGGGGAGACCATGCATGTATTGAGTCAGGGGGTACACGGGAAACTGCTGTACCTTCCCCTGAATTTCACTGTGAATCTTAAATTGCTTTAAAAAAGAAAGTTTTAAAAACACTATAATAAAAGCATAACTTTGTGTATCATTCTTGCTTAGTTCTGATTGCAATCCCTTATAATTCTTTAAATAAAAAAATAATTACAACTTATTTAATGGCAAAACTTGACCTGTAATGACATAAAACTATTTATAGTAACAAGAATTCATAGTGAGGACCTGGCTGAATATCTCAGTTGGTTTTTCTCTCTCTCCCTTAAATGAAATTTAAAAAACAAACAAACAAAAAAACCCTACTGTGGACAGCAGCCATATCAGCTGTGTTCTGGAGGTAATACAGTATAATGTAAAAAGCTGGGGCCTTGCTCTTGCTGGTATCTCTTAGTGGATTGAGAGCTGGCCTGAGAACAAAGGGTCACCAGTTCGATTCCCAGTCAGGGCACATGCCTAGGTTGTAGGCCAGGTCCCTGGTAGGAGGTACGCAAGAGGCAACCACATGCTGATATTTCTCTCCCTCTCTTTCTCCCTCCCTTCCCCTTTCTCAAAAATAAATAAATAAAATCTTAAATTAAAAAAAAAAAGAGCTGGGGCCTTGAGACAAGTAAGACCTAGGCTCTAACAATACTGAAGGGTAGTACAGCATTATGGTTTCCAATGCAGGCTTTGCTGTCTGATTGCTTGGGTTTGAATCACAGCTTTGCTGATTAGTATCAGTGGTGCAAATGGAGATAGAACACCTCAGGGTGAATGTCATGGTCTCTATGTAACTAATGGGTCTTGGAGACAGTAACTGCAGTGGCTATTCAAAAGAGCTATCACTCATTTAATTAACAGGACCCCTTAAAAACAGAGCTGAAGTCTCCACAGGAAAGCCATCATAAAAGCTGTATTAGAATAAACAGTAAGGAGATTTAAAGTAATACATATGTATCGCACATATTTTCACTTGTCCTTAGGACCAAGAATCAGTGATAAGTATTGAAAAGAGGGTGTCTCAACAGCTTTTGCTATTTGTAAGGCACGGTTCTACATGACTCCCTGGTTAAGAAATACAGTATCAGGAAATGCTTTAATATTTACCAGAGCAATGGGAACAAAAAAGCAGAACCCATTATTTCAGAACCTTGAATATGTTTATAGGTTTTATTAACACATTTCTCATTGACCACATTGTTCCTGCTGTTTGCAAGAGCCTCAACACTTCAGGTATTAACTATTTTGATAAGGAAATAAGGGAGGCATGTCTCAAGTTATATAATCAAGCCAGGCCCTGGGACAGACTCAGGTCCAGATCTAAGCAGTCTAAAGCACAGTCACCAAGGCGACTAGGAGGCTTAGGAATCATCAGAAGCAGACAAAGAAAATCATGGAGATGAGCTGTCTGGAGAAAATGGGGAAAACTGTGAATGTAAATCAATGCTGAGTCAGTGGCCACAACTTATTTCCAGTATGAGGTCTTCAAATAGGTTCAAGTCCCTTTAAGACTGTCTGATTTTCTTATTAGAAACACTGTCAACTGACTGCCAGCATTCAGATAGGAACTTCAGATATATCTGAGCATGACATAACAAGGAATTAGGAAAAAACATAGGAAAGTAGATACTCACTGTGCAGCAGAGAGAATATAATGCATGGCAACATCTCCAAATAAGACCATTAAGGGCTTCCGGTCTTCTAATTTGCCCTAGACCCGATTTTAGGGAAACACAGATAGCACAAAAACTATATTATTAAAAGCGTCCAATTACTAACATCTTCTTACCTATATAATCAAATACACTGACTTCATAATTTCTCACATAGTTTCCAGGCTGACTGAACACTAAAGCAAAGCCAGTTTTTTGTTTTTTTTTAAATTTTATTCATCTTTAGAGGGGAAGGGAAGGAGATAGGGAGAGAAATATCAATGTACGGTTGCCTCTCGTGCATCCCCTGCTGGGAACTGGCCTGCAACCCAGGCATGTGCCCTGACTGGGAATTGAACCGCGGTTGTTTGGTTTGCAGGCCTGTGCTCAAACGACTGAGCATTGGCCTGTGACCCCAAAGGTCATCGTTTCCATTCCCGGTCAGGGCACATGCCTGGGTTGTAGGCCAGGTCCCCAGTTGAGGGCACGTGAGAGGCAACCAGTCAACATCAATGTTTCCCTCCCTCTCTTTCTCCCTCCCTTTACCTCTCTAAAAAATACGTAAATAAAATCTTTTAAACAATGTTTGAATCTTAATTTGGATAAAACTTTTATTTTTAAATGTGATATGAAAACAAATACCAAAGCAAAGTAAGTGACATCTGAAGATAGCACTGCTATGAGGAAAAGAGTCATGGTCTGGTTTGTTGGTAGCCACCATCTATGATTCTCTGACATAAGCATCAAGTTTTAAACTTTAATACTACCTTTATCTCTTAAGTGTGAAGCGCCAAGCTTCACAGCTATTTCAAGAACCAACTAGCCCGACCAACCTCTGTGTATTTTGTCAATAAATGCCTAGAATACTGGCAAACTGTTGTCCAAAAACGGCTTAAGGCAGGTAGGGAGCTGGTGTCAAGTAAAAAAAACAAACCAAACATTTAAGTGTTTTTCTGTCACAACATACAATTGAATGCACACACAACCCACAGAGACTCCAAGGATACAAGTCAGTTTGAAGCGGTAACGTACTTTCCTGCTGACTGCAATGAGAAGACATTCAGCGGCTCCCAGCTGAAGCTCCTGTTCATTCAGAAGCAGGCACAGCACCTCCAGGAGTCTGCAGTTCTCAGCAGTGATGTGACTCATGGACACCCAGTCAATGTAGCCGGCCAGAGTATTCAGGGCTGCCACCCCGACACGACAGTGTGCTTGAGCCTGAATAACAGAAACAACTCTTTGACTATTAGGTTCTAATAGACAAGCAAACAATGGTTACATCTGAGTTCCTTCTATTTCCTAATTCTAAATAGAAAATGATTTTTTCAAAATGTACTATTATAATAGTTGCTAACAAGAAATTCAAAAGTATTTTTTTCCTCATGAACACATTCACTTCTTAAACATTGGCAATCTCAAGAAATCAATAAGACCATGTTGATATGAGTCCATTAAATTTCCTTCAAGAAATACCAGATATTGTAATTTTAACTCCCTTCCACCTCAGCTCAGTGATCAAATAAACCAAGGCTAAGGTCACCCTCCACTAGACGGATATATCTTGTACCTGCAAGCCTCAAAAAAGTCTCCTTCCAACAAAGAGCTCTTACCTTTGGCTCCTGAGTATTATCTGTATTCTGAAAGAAAAGAAGTATAAGGATCCAATGTTTTTAATGAGTAAAAGGCTGTGTAATAACTTTCCATCCCCATAATCAAGGCTCTCAAACAGATTCTCTAATATAGACTCAATCTTCAATCTTGGAAAGAATATACCTTTGCCAAGGATGCATAACTGATATTCGCCCCAGTAAGAACAAGTTATTTGAATTTTAGCAATATGACAAAAAGTTAATATTTAAAGAGCTTACACAAGAACATTCAGATCTGCAAAGACAGTTTCAAAGCACATGATTTACAAAGAAATACAACTAAAAAATGAACAATAAATAAGGCTAAACACTGCTAGTGATGAAAGAAATACAGTTTAGAACAAAGTATTAGCATGTTCTCCAAATTAAAATAAAGACAAATTATAGCTGGCAAAGATACATCGAAATGATGTAATGTTAATGGAAAAGAGAAAGAAGATGAAATCAATACAACTTATTACCACATGTGAATGGACATATTGGAAAAACATGTACATAAAAATACTAGACGCTAAACAGATCAAAATGGTATGCTTAGTAAATGTACAATTATGACTAATTTTTACCCTTATATTCCAAATTCTGTAAAAATATTACATGTTTACAATTTACAATTGTATAAAATTAATATTTTTCTGAGGAATTTTTTAAATTAAAATTAAGAGTAACTCCTGAAGACCATTAACAGAAAAATAGAAGCAGGAATAACAACTTCTGAAGTACCTGAAAACTTGCCATCATTAAGATTATAAAGGACTCATTTTACAATTCCTTTTCTCAAGAAGTAAAACTATGTTTTTTGCCCTGGCCTGTGTGGCTCAGTGTGTTGGGCATCATTTTGCAAACTGAAAGGTTGCCAGTTCAATTTCTGGTCAGGGAACATGCCTGGGTTGCGGTTTGGTCCCCAGTCAAGGCGTGAACAAGATGCAACCCATCAATGTTTCTCTCCCTGGTCTTTCTCCCTCCCTTCCCCTCTCTCTAAAATCAATCATATCCTCGAGTGAGAAAAAATTTTTTTTTGATAAAGAACAATTATTAAGGCTTCATTATTAATAGCGATCACATAGATGTGCAAATGGCACAGAGATGAGCAGAACATTATCTTCCTCATCAACATCTACTAATGCTGCCCAAGGGGGAAAAGGGATCCAAATGACGAGAGCCAAGTCCACTGTCTACTCTCCGTTCCTGCAAATCCTTCATTCCTGTTGGGTCCTCCACATCCCTGGGACCAGTACAAGAGCCAGATGATGGGACAGGGAGAGTGAGCCTACCCATACCCATCCCATTATTGTTTACCATTCAACTTATTCTTCAGTTGGGAAGGTGAAAGGATAGAAGAGAAAAACCAACTACAAGCAAACTGAGTTCAAGATAAAAGAGTTGGCGCTTGGTGTGCTCTGGTCCTGTGCACAGGTGGAAGTCCAGTTTAACAGATGAAGGAAACTAAAACAGAGGCTAAAGATAAACACACCAGTAGGTGTTTCTTTTTTTTTTTCTTAAAGGTTTTATTTATTTATTTTTAGAGGGGAAGGGGAGAGGGAGAGAAATATCAATGTATGCTTGCCTCTCATGCATCCCCTGCTGGGAACTGGCCTGCAACCCAGGCATGTGCCCTGGGAATCGAACCATGGTTGTTTGGTTCGCAGGCCTGCACTCGATCCACTGAGCTGCACCAGCTGGGGCTGTTTCTAACTTTTTAGACTGTCACCTATCATCAGCCCTGTTCTTGCACATTTGCTAGATTTCTACAGCAACTAAGTATTCACAATTTGTTCTCTATCTCCTAGGTATTAAATCTCCCAGGGGAAAATAAAAGAATACTTCCTTTACCCTCATTATATAGGTTTGGTTTTTGTTTTGGCTTTTTTAAAGGAAGAAAATTTGAGTTTATTTATTTTATTTTAAACAACTGTTTTTCTTCTTGAATGAATGAAATAATCGATCCCATGTGATCCACCCCACCAATCCAATCAGGCTTAGCTGTGGCAAAGTTTGTTAAAGTACTGAAACTTTCTTCTTTTATTAAACAATATACAGCCACATCAGTCTAACTGGTTCATATCAAAGAAGTTCAGAGAAGAAGAGATCCTCTCACTTCCTGAGGAGGGCTGGAGATCCAAACACTGGGAACTCCAGACTAATGTCCTCTGCTTGCTCCAGGCCTGTGGGATATCCATCCGTTAACAGATGGGAACAAGGCTCAGAGCAGGTCTGCCCTAGTGCAGCCTGCATAGTGTGTGGGTTCTTGATTTCGTGCAGGAAAGATTTCACAACACGAGTCCAGGTAATTTTGAGATTATGTTTATTAAACCTGGGGAGAGTGAAACAAGGAAGGGCTTAGGATAAGAGAAGTAACAATAGAGGGCCTAGGTGGGCTGCTTTGGCTCCCTGGGAAGTCAGAGAAAAGGGGGCTTTTTCTCAAACAGGCTCAGGGGGTTAGCCCAGGATGAGCTGCTGCTGCTACCCACTGCTCCCCTTGTAGCAGGTCTAATTGGGCCGTTAGAGTTTAGGAGATGGATGCCTGAGAGGGAAGAAAGGCGTGGGCATGCTTCCGGGAGAGAGAGTGTGCCCACGTAGGTTTTAAAATCCAAGCATTTCCTTGATATTTTCTTTTGAAAAATCTCAGGGAGATATTTTTTGGGAAAAAGTCTATTCTAGTATGAAGAATGGGGCTTGAATTCTAACCAAACCATTTATACAGGCTCTTTAATAATTACCCCAAGCCTTGGTTTTCCTCATCTACAAAATGGAAACAATACTTTCTGACTCTTAGGGTTTCAAGGATTAAATACCATAGAAAGTGTAAACAAGTACAGGGAATGGCAAAAGTAAGTACAGGTATTTCATATGGAAAATAATACAATTAACTAATACACTTGGCAATCCCATCCATGTTGGAAACTGCTCTGCCTGGTTTCAGGAGTTGTAACTGCCTCCCATGGCTAAGGCTGAGTGAGCGACCTCCGGAATGTGAGCCACTGAGACAAAGCTTATCTCTGGCAGCAGCACTGCTTCCGCTTCATCCCCTGCTCCCAAAGCTTGGTCGGTTAGTCAGAGACAGGTACGACTCTTCAGAGGGACAACCTAAGCCAGACACGATCACTTGGGAGGCCATCGTGGAAGGACTGGCGGGGGGGGGGGGGGAGGCGTTTGCAACAAAAAGGGAGTGATGGACCCTCACCCCCCAGCTATTCTGACATAGCCCAAGTCCCCATGTCCTCTGGGAGCAGCACTTCCTGGCTCTAACCCACTTAAGCCTGAAAACCTGTGATGCGGGAGGTGGTGTACAGCCTCTTGCCGGCTACAATGGGATCCAGGGGGATCGGACATAAGAAAGAATTCCTTAAAGTCCTGTGAAGCCTGCTTTGCTAAGAGTGCTTTCCATTCATATGACAAGGGTCTGAGCAGGAAATGAGTATGTCTCCCAAAGTTTCTGCAACCCCCTTTCCTGACAGACACTGACTCAGACTAAGCCCTCAGATTTCTTTGAAATGTTATCTACTGTTTGATCCTTACCCCCTGTATTACTGTGTATTTCAACCCAATAAAAGCCATTAAGGAAGGGGCTCCTTAGCCTTTCTCCTCTGAGAGATTGGCCACCTCTCCTCCTCAAGCAGATCATGTCTTAGTAGTGTTACTTTCATCCGTGGCAGAGGGACTTGCTGGCAAAGTTGCCCCCACACATCTGGAGACACATTTGTTGTGATGAAAGTGCACCAACCACAAGGAACATTTCACAGACAAGCTACACTGGCATTCAAGAGCAAGGCTCCTGGCTTCAAGTTCAAGTTGGTGGAATAAGAGAGTCCCCCTACTAGAGCCTCTCACTGACATTAAAACTGCAACTACGAATAGAATATCTATCTCTCAGAATGACCTGAAGACTAGCAGAACAGATTTTCTACAACTACATAAATAAAGAAAACACCACACTAAACCAGGCAGGAGGAGTAGAGACTAAGAACAGTCAGGACCTACACTATCCCCTACTCCCCATGCGGTGACTCACAAGTAAGAAGAATATCGCAACTGCAGAAATCATCCCAGAAGAGCAAGGGGTCTGAGTCCTGGCCCAGGAAACCTGTGCCAGGAAGATGAACCCCCAGTGGGGCTCACATCTGGGAGAGCCAAAGGGCCACAGAAAACCTGGGTTGTGGCCTTTTTGAGTCCTGGCACAGAGGCAGCAGTTTGAAAAGCACCTGGATCACACGTGAATGTGATAAATTGACCAATTTTTGGGTATATGCTGGAGAGACAGGGATCTTTTGGAACTTTCTCCTCAGTCAGAGGTGCTGGCAGGCGCTATTTCTGACACTCTATTAGCATTGCTAACACTGTTCACCCCACACTGGCATTCATTTCCTTGAGGACTCATTAGAGCTAGCATCCCTCCAAAGTGGCTCCTGCCCTGCCACCCCCAGTGGGAAGCCTTTAGCTGGCACCAGCACACAGCAGTGTCTCTGCAATAGCATGGGTGGACCTTGCAGCCAGCCACACCGAAGGCTTGCCATGCACACCAGTGAGTCTGCAACAGTGTGGACAGACCTCTCAGCCAGTGGGCTAGGGACCAGCCTCATCTGCCAGTGTGTCCACAGAAGTTGTGGTCCAGCCACAACAGGAAGCCACACTAGTCCATCCAATCCAGGGAACACCTTACACATCGATGTTTCTCTCCCTCTCTTTCTCCCTCCTTTCCCCCTCTCTAAATAAATAAATAAAATATTTTTAAAAAATCTCACTAGTAAAGGCAAACATATGGTAGATAGTAGACCAACCACTTATAAATTTAGTATGAAAATGATTAAAGTGGCAATAAGTACATATCTATCAATAATTACTTTAAACGTAAGTTGACTAAATGATTCATTGAAAATACATATGGCCCTGGCTGGTGTAGCTCAGCGGATTGAGTGCAGGCCTGCGAACCAAAGGGTCATCGGTTCGATTCCCAGTCAGGGCACATACCTGGGTTACAAGCCAGGTCCCCAGTAGGGGGCACACTAGAGGCAACCACACATTAATGTTTCTCTCCCTCCCTTCCCCTCTGTAAAAATAAAGAAATAAAATATTTTTTAAAAAGAACAAAGAAAATACATAGGATGACTGAACAGATAAAACCACAAGACCTTTACATTTGCTGCTTACAGCAGACTCCGGATTGAAAGACACACATAGAATTTTCAATGTGATGAAGGTAAAGGGATGGAAAAAGGTATTTCATGAAAATGGAAAGGAAAAAAAAGAAGCTGGGATAGCAGTACTTTTATCAGACAAAACAGACTTTAAAACAATGGCTATAACAAGAGACAAAGAAGGATCCACAATTTGACTTTTGGGCACTTATCTGAAGAAAACTAATTTGAAAAGATCTCTGCACCCCTTTGTTAAATGCAGCATTACTTACAATAGCCAAGATATTGTATAAAAGCAACCTAGGTGTTAATCAATAGGTGGATGAATAATATATATGGGGGGGGTATTACTCAGCCATGAGAGAGAAAAGAGAGAAAGAAAGAAAGAAAGAAAGAAAGAAAGAAAGAAAGAAAGAAAGAAAGAAAGAAAGAAAGAAATCTTGCCATTTGCAACAACATGGATAGACCTAGAGCAGGGTGTCAAACTCACTTTCACCAGTGGGGCCACACCAGCCCCACGCTTACCTTCAAAGGGCTAAATGTAATTTTAGGACTGTGTAAATGCAACTACTCCTTAACAGTTAAGTGAGAGCTCAGCACTGCCGCCGGGTAGAAACAAGGTGGCGGGCTGGATAAAACAAGGTAAAGGGCCGGGTACGGCCCTCGGACCTTGTGTTTGTCATCTGTGGCCTAGACAGTATTATGCTAAGTGAAATAAGACAAATACTGTTATCATTTCACTTATGTATAGAATCTAAAAAACTAAACAAATGAACAAACAAACAGACTCATAGATACAGAAAAACTGACAGCTGCCAGAGGGTTGGGTGGTCAGGTATGAATAAAATGGTGAAGGGGATAAAAAGGTACAAACTTACAGTTATAAATAAGTCACAAAGATGTAAAGTACAACAGATGAACTACAGTTAGTAGTATCACAATAACTCTGTATGATGACAGATGGATAGTACACTTTTTGTGGTGATCACTACATAAGGTGTATAAATGTGAAGTATCACTGTGCTAATACACCTGAAACTACTACAACAATGTATGTCAACTATACTTTAATTAAAAAGGGCTTTATGCCCTGGCCAGGCAGCTCAGTTGGTTCGAACGCTGTCCTGACAGGTGAAGGTTATGGATTTGATCTCTGGTCAGGGCACATACAAGAAGCAACCAATGAATGCACAAATAAGCGAAACAACAAATCAATGTTTCTCTCTTTTCCTCCCTCCATCTATCCCTCTCTAAAAATCAAAACAAAGAAAAAGCTTTATATTTCAGAATGAAAAAATACAATTATTAATAAATAATAATACAAGAATAAACTGTTTCACATACAACTGTAAACCTATTTTGTCCCACTCTGTATATGGTATCTATATACACCATGTACTCACTGTGAGCTCCTCCACACCAAAATAGTTTATAGTACCTTCTCCTATTAGTGTTAGTATCTAGTGCTTCTCTGAGAGCAGACCTAATGAAGTTGCGGGGGGGGGGGGGGGCATAAAGATAACGAACTATAATTAGTCCTATTTTGTGAAATAAGCACATGGGAGAATACTAGAGCAGGGTTTTTCAACTCTGCACTTTTGACATTTTGGGTTGGATTATTCTTTATTGTGGGAACTGTGTATTATATAATGCTGCTACAGTTTAGCAGCATCCCTGGTGTCTACCCACCAGATGCTAGTAGCAATCCCTACTTGTGAAAATCTGGGGGGCTAAATCACCCTCTAGTGGGGACTAGATTAACTTTCTATACTAGGTTAACTTTCATACTGCCTTCTTCTAAAGGCTCTCTGCTAAAAATGACAACGGCTGGAAAGAAAATATCTGGCTTGCCCTTTTCTGCAGAAGGGAAAAATGAAAATTAAGAGTAACTCTACCTCATCAGGAAGAACAAAATACCAAGAATTATGTAGTAACAATTAATAAAACTTGGCACAGTTTATACTAAAAGAGGGACAGGACTAATGGAACATCAAATTTTAATAGGGATACTACTCTGACCTATGAGATATCTTGACTTTCAAATATTAAGACATCCTTCATCTTTATATTATTTAATGAATTTCCTTACTGTAAAAGAAATTATTTGTTCTAGTAGAAAATCAGTTCTTTAAAAAAAAAAGGAAATAAGTCCTTGTTTTTCCTGTCACCTATTTCCTTTTTGTTCATAAAATGGCCTTTTCTTTTGAACTAGACGTCTAGTTCAAAAACTAGGTGCTTAGTTCCTTGCTCATTCTAACTTTAAACAAACAAAAGAAGACTCACTAAAAAACACAACTTTGAAGAGGTGGGGTATCCCTTACCACTTGCCGGTACTTGTTTACATTTTCTTGAAGTGTGTTAAGTAGAAAACTGAAGATCCTTTCCATGTTCTGGGTTAATGTTTGCTGGATGTCCCTTCTTCTTTGAAAGGGCAGTGTATGAAAGGTCACTACATCCTCTGCCAGTCGCAAAAGGATGAACATCACTAATTCTGTCTGTGTTTCCTGTATCAACAGAAATAAGCAAGTTAAACTAAAATATCTTTTCCTTTATAGGTATGCCTAAAAGCTCTTTTCTATTGACAAAACAAAGAAACCCCTGAAGAGCCCAAAAAAACCAAAACCACAAAAACTGAATTGGCACTACTGTATCTCATACCCCTTGTTTGGAAAGAGTGTCCAATTCTATGAGCATGTCGGGCCAGTGCTGTGGCCATTCCCGCTTGATCATTTCTACTACAATTCGAGACAGAACATCTTTAATATGGTTCTCCTCTTCCAAAATATTCAGTGTTCCCTGAAAAAGAATAAGAGATATTAAGAGATCTGCAAGAGTGAATTCAAGGGGAAAACAGGACTATAAAAACTCACCAGTAAGCCTGCATTTAGACTAACCAGAATAAACAAACCTGTTCTCCATGTCTGAGTCATTTGTCCTGCATTCTTCCTAATTATTCCTCCCACTTAAAACTTAAGTGAGGGTTTCACCAGCTAATAAAATGGCTGTCACACAGAGCAAGGTAGACATCACTGTTGTCCTTCAGAAACAGAAGAGACTCTCTTATTGATGGTTTCATTTTGTTAGAGGGCCAGGGTGGAAGAAAAGAGAAATAAGGAATATGTTGAGGGGCTGCTAAAATGGGAGAGTTAGGAGGAGCACCTAAATATTTCACCAATAGTTCTAGTATGAGAAGATACAGAAAGACTATTATGATTTTTATCAAGTTTTCCCAGAACCAGCAAATTACAGAGCCTGAGTTAATTAATAGTTTTGAAGATTCCCCCCCCCCTATCAAAGGCACCAGACTTTGGGGATAAAGAGGGGTAGGAATTCCACTTTTTATGCCCTTTAAAAAGGAAAAAAGGTCCTGGCTGGGTGGCTCAGTGGACTGAGTGAGTACTGGCCTGTGAAGTGAAAGGTTGCTGGTTTGATTCCTAGTCAGGGCACATGTGTGGGTTGCAGGCCAGGTCCTCAGTAGGGGGTGTGCAGGAGGCAACCCTCATATATGGATGTTACTCCCTCCCTCCCCCTCTTTCTCTAAAGATAAATAAAATCTTAAAAAAAAAAAAAGAAAAAAAGGCGATGGATTTTAAACATGTTTAAAGCCATATTCTGACTCCTGAAACAAATTCATTCTGCTTATTTTTTACTGTTACTATCATACAGTATGTTTGTGATGAATTACAATTTCTTGTGACGGTGGTTCTTCTTACCTTGAAGGTAACATTTAATGTCATACAAAGTAGGCTGTCTGGCATGTAGAACCACTGAATTTTTACACAAACGCTACATTAAAGAAGTCACTCTGTCTAAACAACATTGGAAACACAAGTCGTCCAACCAACAATTCCTTACATTTTCAATCAGCTCCATGACACTGTTCTTCAGATAGACCTTCTCCAATCGAGACATGCTGTTCCACCGAAACCTGGCCACCAAAATGCATAAAGTCAACAGACCACATTAGAAGTCTTCTCTTTAGGAGACTTTGAGCCTGGTATTAGATTATGTTGGCAATTTCACTAAGAAATTAAACTTTTGATTTCATATGCCTCAAAGAACAGACAAAACGTAACCGAAATGTAACCACACGTAACCAAAATGCTAACAACAGAGAAAGTATGGGGAAATAGTTTTATTTAGGCAGTGGGCCATTAATCGGAACCCATACAGGATTTTCCAACAGATCAGCTTTCCTGTTGATTTTCCCGACAGAGCAAAAGCAAATGTATACCCCTGAAACAACTGCAACAATGTAACTGTTTTTCAGAAAATACAGTCTTGATATTGCTAACTCCATTTCTGTGATGGTTTACAAAGTAATACCGCAAATCCAGAAAAGCTAGCTAATTCTTAAAAACTGACTGATTCTTCTGATAGACATTGGGGGTAGGAGACTAAAGTTAGAAAGGGTTTTCAGTTATTTTCATATGATTCTGCTTTGAAGTTGCCATTCAGAGAAGGCCCATGCTCAAACTTAAGGAAAAAAAATTAAAAGCAAAAATGCCTAATCAGAGATTTATTTCCCTATGCATTGCATTATTCTAAAAAGACTTAGAGATCTATGGCATAAAGTCAGAACTCAATAAATGCTGGTTGAATGACGATCAGCTAACATTTGCAGAATGCTTAGTATGTACTATGCAGTTCCACATGGACAAATAAACTAAAGAAGGGAAAGGTGAGGTCCTGAATGAGAGCTCCAATGAAGCTGTGGTAACCTCTTGGGGATGAGTCCTTTCTTCTTGGGGATTCCTCTTTTCTACTTACCTAAAGACTAGCTCTATGAGTTATAGAAGAACTAAAGATTTGCTCCCTCAAGACTTCAGCGGTAACACCCAAAAGCTCCTTACTTGACAACGTGTTCCAGGATCTGAAGACCGAAATGTCTGACGATAGCAATCTGTGTTTTCTCAGCCAGCTTCAAACCACAGGGGACACAGACAGGGCACTTTTCTTTAAACTCCTCACAAAACTAAAAGAAGAAAAGTTAACGTTTTCCTTACTAGCCAAGAGGGTAGGGCCTAAAAAAACTTTCATTTTAACTCCAACCTGAGCCATATTTTTACACTGCAAAATATAGACAAATATTGTAAGGAACCCATTAAATTCCTTTCACTTTCATAGTTCTAGATTCCCCATGCACTATCCCTACGAATGTTGAAAAAAAAAATCTTATCTAAAAGACTAAAAAAAATGTTAGAGATACACCCCTGAAGTATATAGGAGTGAAATGACAATTTCGAGGATTTGTTTTAAAAACTTTTGGTGAAGGAGGATAAAGCAAATGTAAAATCTTTTGTAATACCTGAGTTCATGCAATGGGCATACCCAAAATCATTGCAGTCTCTCTACTTTTGTGTCTATTTTAAATATATTATAGCAAAACAAACAAAGTACAACCCAACCGTTTGACTCCAAATTCGGTGGCATACATCTACGTATTTTAAATTTCCTCCAAGTGATGCTCACTGTACATCACTTAAACTGTGCACAAGTTATTTTTTTCCTAGTGGTTATTTCATTTCTCACAGCCCACATACATTGTTTGATGCGGGAATATGCTCATATTGCATTAGCATCTCCACTTGTATTAGCATCCCCAAATTGCAGCACAAGAGTCAGTCCCAGGAGCAGAGCATCCGGGACTCAAAAAAACTACTTTCAGGAAATCAAAGTGCCCTTGTTAAAATGCAAAGCAAGTGGTTGGAAGTTCATCTCTGCGCAAAATAACCTAAGAATATCACACAATAAAAAATATGAGGGGGGGGGCGCGTGTGAGAATTAGCCCAAAAATACCAACATACGTAGAGGTCAGGAAGGGGTGTAAAGATTTAAGTAAAAGGACACTACGGGGTCTGATGCTCATTTAGGGGGGTCAGGAGAACGGATTAGTAGGGAAACTTTGTAGAGCTGGGGAGACCGTAAAGAATGTAGCTGGTGCTGAGTACAGGATGGACACGTGCTCCACGGAAAGGCGAGGGGATGCGGGGATGTGGGGCTCTGGCGAATAAAGTTAAGTTTAGCCAGCTGTGGAGGGGGGCGTCCTAGTGCGAACAAGAGTGAAGTGGGGAAAAGGGGAGGAGAGGGCAATGCGAAGTGGTTGTGAGATGAGATCGCCAAAAGCAGTTACGGACCGGGACGTCCCGGGAAAAGGGCCGGCGCCACCAACAGAGAAGCTGACAGTGGGAAGAGGCGCGGAGGGTAGTAAAAGAAGGCCCCCTCAGGGTTAAGGAGGGAAGTCCAAGGGCCGCGTGGGCAGGAGACTACCAAGGTTGTGGGCGGTGCCGGGATGGCTGGGCTGAGGGAGGGTCTAGGGCAGGCCCCGCGCGCCAGACCCCAGCTACCTTCAGGGCTTCCAGCCGATAGCGCTGGGTGGAGCTGGGGTCCATCATGACCGTCACCGCTTTCACCAGCTGCTCGCACAGCGCGTTCACTTGATCCATTGCCATGGCTACTGCCACGCGCCGGGAGAGCGCACTACGGCCGTCTTGGGAGCACAAGATACAGACGGCTCCCTCACCGTTATAACAAGCTAGTACCGGGCCGCGGCGAGGTGGGGGGTAGAAAGCGGGAGGAGGAGCCGTGTGCGCCAGAAGATCCAGCCGGGAAAGAACCGGCGGGGCACACGCGCCCGATCCTACACTACGCAAGCGCCGGCGGAAGTGGCGGCGCACTCTTGACGGTTGCCCCAGGGTGGGCGTAGCTGGGGACGGAAGGGCCACCCTGCGCAGGCGCGTCAACGCCCTTCGCGACGAGCGCGCTGATTGACGTCTGTCAAGGGCGTTAGCCGTTGAGCGCGCTGGCTTTGGCTGAATCAACCCGGTTGTGTGGGGCGCTGCTCGAGCAAGGATTCTCTGCGACCCTCCGTCTGTTTGCATCCTTACGGGGAATAAATCTCTCGATACTAACCGGCTTGCTCCCGGAAAAGAGACAGTTATTCAAGACCCAGTCATCTTCCAGTGGACACCAAGCCCAGCATTTGCAGCGTCCGCAGTTTGGCAGTTTTGCCAGGGTTTGCCACATTGGTAAGAGAATTAAAAAATTTTCGGTATCACTGTTTTCAAACCTTTCGGGTTGCCTTAGCTATTGGTTTTATGATATAGCAGTGACTGGCGACAACATTGGGCCAAATGTTGGTTCCAAAAATTACATGAACTGGAAATGCACGCTCACAGAGTATGTGGCCCTGGTATTCTCTAAGAGAATTTTTCGTGTGAAAAAAATAATATTTTTCTCTGTAACTCTTAAACCTCCCTCTTGTACTTACTTTCTTTGGGTGTGTTATCACCAGATTGGCACCAAACTTGTTTTGTGCGGATTGGGATAAATCGAGATATTTAAAGACGAATAATTGCAAGTATTGAAGGTTGAGCGGTGCTGATCTTCTGAAGTGCTTTCTATAGATGCTTCACCGTAGTATAACCCTTATTCTGAAAATGGGGTCTTGGCAGAGAGTGTGTTTCATTTTCCATCTTTTAAAAAGCTCTTCCCTTCACCAGCAAAATATGTGAACTGAAAACTTGAACAGCTTCATTATCTGTTAAAGTGCATATCGGTTTTTGCATTTATATACTCACTAATATGTTTGCTGGATTTAAATCACTGCTCCCAATTCATACTCCATTTCTGGTACTTGTATCACTATGGTGCATATCTGTTGTTTTTGTGTGTGTGAAAACGCATTTACTATTTTTACTGTGGCATCTGTTTCAGTGCTATGCAAAAGGCACTTCAGTCAATGAATTTCTTTCTGCCTGTTTTCAGTGAGTAGAATTTATAAGAAATTAATGCCTTGACACTCTGATTTTTAAAAACTCATTGTTTTCTTTCCACTAATCTTCCACTTTGTAGTTGCATACCACTTTTTTCAGAGTGAATGTTAATTTTTGACACTTTTTTAAAAGAATACAGTTGAGTGCTTACTCAACTGTATAACCTGTGTTTCTCATATTTAAATCATGAATTACTGGTGTTTTCAAAAGTGTCTTACATACTTTAGGTTAGTGTTTCTCAATCTCTGCTACATATTAAAAGGGCCTGGAAAGCTTGTAGAAATCACAATGCCCAGCTCATATCCATACCAATTAAATTATGGTGTCTGGTGGTCAACCCTAAAAGCCAATATCAATATTATTTAAATGTTCCTAGGTGGTTCCAGTATGCAGCAAAGTTTGGGAGCCACTTCTTTAGTTTACATTCCTTCTTCTAATTTTCTAATATTGTTAAATGATAATATGAGTCTGTATCCATTATCAAGTATGTAAGGTTTATTCTTCCAATCTACTATCCATGCCTTTATACATGTCTATGCTGGAATAGTATGTAGCATTGTTTTCTTTTGTTTTCAGAAATTTACATGAATGAGTAGAAAATCACCATTAGAACACTGCAAAATAATTGTCCCAGGCAAGATTCACTGATACCCATCAGTGAAAATGTGAGGAGAAACAGGATATTTGTAGCCTCAAAGTATCTCCCCTAAGATTAGTTACAAAAGGAAAAATAGTAACTTTACCATGAGAAACAGGGCAAATACTTTCTCAACTAAATGATCATGGTTAATATCACCAGTAATAAGACATTGATATTATGTACCTCCCAAAATGATACACTGAGAAGAGCACATAACTTATGTAATATTCTTGGCAAAAATGCATAACCTCAGTCTAATCAAGAGAAAACATCAGACCAACCTAAAGAGAAATATATTCTCAAAGTAACTGACTAGTTTTCTTCAAAAGTGTGAAGGTGATGAAAAACAAGGGAAGATTTAGGAGGTGTCGCAGATTGGAAAATATTAAGCAGACATGATGACTAAGACTGGGTACTAGATTGGATCCTGGAACAGAAAAAGGGTATTAGTGGAATAACTGGTGAAATTCAAGTAGTTAAATATACCAATGTTCATTTTTTAGCTTTGATAATTATGCTATGTAAAATATTAACATTAGAGGGAACTAGGTGTGGGAGAACCCTACTATTTTTGCAATATTTTTTAAGTCTAACATTATTTCAAAATAGAAAGTTAAAGAAATTCACATGATGCCCTGACTGATGTGGCTCAATGGACTGAGTGCCAGCCTGGGAACAGAGGGATTGCCAGTTTGATTCCCAGTCAGGGCACATGCCTGGGTTGTGGGTCAGGTCTCCAGTTGGGGGTGTGAGAGAGGCAACCACACATTGATGTTTCTCTCCTCTTTCTCCCACCCTTCTCCTCTCTAAAAATAAATAAATAAAAACTTGAAAAAAAGAGGAACTGCTTGGGGCTTCAGCAGTATCTTCCACTGACTCAACCCCTGCTCTTTTTTTTTTTTAATAAAAGAAAAAAAAGAAATTCACATGAATGCTGCGATGTTATATATCATTTTTGTTTCTCTTTTCCCTGAATTTATACTTGAGATTTATGTATGAATTAGATTATCTATTGGCTTAATCCCTTTGTCAATGTGAATTGTGGTTTTAATTTGCATTTCTGTAAGACTAATGATATTTTCATTTTCATGTGCCTGTTGACTATTTTTTTAAAGATTTTATTTATTTATTTTCAGAGAAGGGGATGAAGAAGGAGAGGGAGAGAAACATCACTGTGTAGCAACAGCCTCTTGCGTGCCCGCAGCTGGGGACCTGGCCCACAACCCAGGCATGTGCTCTGACTGGGAAACTGGTGATCCTTTGGTTCTCAGGCTGGCGCTCAATGCACGGAGCCACACCAGCCAGGGCCCTGTTGACTATTTGTATATCTTTTGTGAAATGTTCAGTTTTTTTGGGAGATGGATATTTTTAAAGCTTTTAATACTTACTACCTTCCTAAAATTGTACCAATTTATTATTCTCCTTGGAGTAGTAAATGAAAATGCCTTTTTCATTCTTGTTAGTTTCCAGGATCTCATGCTCATGGTAACTCAACACTGGAAGGAGGGAAATACAGTTTTCCTTGGCACTTTGGATTAGGTATCCTTTTTAACTGTCTATAAAATTTTATCTTACAGAAGCATGGCTAATGGACAGGACCGGGTAGTAGCTCTAGTGGACATGGACTGTTTTTTTGTTCAAGTGGAGCAACGGCAAAATCCTCATTTGAGGAATAAACCTTGTGCAGTCGTACAGTATAAATCATGGAAGGGTGGTGGGTAGGTATCATAATTATTGTTGAAGCTGTCAACTACTGTTTTAATTTATAAGAATGCATTGCACTATGCTAGGTACTATTTTTGAGAGTAATGAACTGCTGTGTTTGAGATCAAATAGTGGCATCTATGTCCAAAAAGTTTCTGCTGTTAACGTGTATAGCCTGTACATGTTAAATTTTAGTTACTTTGGCCTGTGATCATAGAGTATTTTTCTGTCCCTTTTTTTTCTAACCTTAGAATAATTGCAGTGAGTTATGAAGCTCGTGCATTTGGGGTCACTAGAAACATGTGGGCAGATGATGCAAAGAAGTTATGCCCAGATCTTCTCCTGGCACAAGTTCGTGAGTCCCGTGGGAAAGCCAACCTCATGAAGTAAGAAGGACAAGATTGTTTAAGGGGTTGGGAAGGGTTGGAAATAATATGCCACGATGCTAGGAACTAATGTTTCAAATTAGTTTTGTGTAAATAGTGTCTGAAAAAGTTACCTTTGATCAGCCAACTTTTAAAAAGTTATTTATTTTTAGAGAGAGGAGAAGGGAGGGAGAAAGACAGGGAGAGAAACATTGATGTAAGAGAGAAATGTTGATCAGTTGCCTCTTACCCAAGCCTCTGCTGGGACTGAACCCGAAATCTAGGCATGTGCCCTGATTGGGAATCGAACTGGTGACTTTTTGCTTTGCAAAATGACACCCAGCCAACTGAGCCACATTAGTCAGGGAAGTCAGCCAACTTTTCTATGTCATATGAAAACAGACTCTGATATTGTATTTCAGGAATAGTTCAGAGTCATTATAATCTACAATAACTGCTGTTCTTGACCCCTTCTCACTTTCTTACTTTAAAATTGGTTGAACCTAATCAACAAAATAAACTAATGAGCGAAACAGAACCAGAGACATGGAAACAGGGAACAGACTGACAGCTGTCAGAGGAATGTGGGTGGGGGGGCAAGGGGGACCAGTGAAAAGAAGGGGAAGGGACCAGTCAAAGAACATGTATGAACGACCCATAGACATGGACAATGGTGTGAGGATGGACTGCTGGAGCGGGGGAGGGCTGGATGGAGGAGGGCAAAGAGGGAAAAATTGGGAAAACTAATAGAATAAACAAGAATTAAAAAATAAACTTTGAAAAATGGTTGTATAATTATAACTCAATATCAATTTCTGTGTTCTCAAGCCAAACCTGTAGTATTTGAAGTAATTAAATTGACTGTGAAACTTAGAGTTTTTTCAGAAAAGGCTGAGTCAAACTAACATTCTAATGTGATATCTAGAATTATTTGCCAGAATTGAACAATCTTAAAGGAGAGTACCATCTCGGATTTTGAACTGACCTGTCTCTTCCCAAATTTTAGAAGGTTAGTCTTGAAATGGGAGACATTATAGCCATAGCCAAGTTAGAGGCAGTTACAAGCCCAAACCATTTTAATAATCCCAGTAGTTTGTATTGAGTATATGTCATACATCAGACACTGTATTAAGCTCTCCATAAGCACTATCTCTTAAATTTCATGTTGTCATATGGTATGTTCCAGCAGTATACACACTCACAGATGAGGAAACAAGCTTAGAGAGGTTAAATAATTTTCCACAGCAAGAAAATAGAAGACTGAGGATTCAGTTTTTTTCATATTCCACTATCCACATTCTCACAGTACATTATACCATGTGTTGTGGTATGTAGAGATCATGCTTTGATTTGGGACTTGAGATATTCCTGAATTACCGATGAATTGGAAGTCTAAAGGCAGAGTCTAAAGCCACACATTGAAGTTATTGCCAGGAAAGAAGACAGATTTGAGTGGAGCTTATTAATACCTTGACCCTAAATTAGGATTAATTCAACTAAGGGACATAGGCTACATTGCATTGAATAGAATTTTATGCTGGTAGAGACAATGTAACTTTCCAGAAATATAATTGTGTGATTTTGAAAAGTCACATGCCACCAACTTTAAACTTTTTTAACAAGAGCAGTTTCAGAAAATATAGGAGTAAGTCTGCAGACAGGAGCATTATCAAGACCTGATGATTTAAAGTTTAGTTTAGCCCTGGCTGTTGTGACTCAGTGGATCGACCATTGACCTGTGAACTGAAAGGTCCCTGTTTCAATTCCCAGTCAGGGCACATGCCTGGGTTGCGGGCCAGGTCCCCAGTAGGGGGCGTGTAAGAGGCAACTAATTGATGTTTCTCTCCCTCTTTTTCTCCTTCTCTTCCCCTCTTTCTAAAACTAAAATCTTTAAGATTATTTTAATAATTAGCTTGAGATACCAGGTTATTAAAAATAAAAACATGATTTTTAAAAGTATATATACACTAAGATTATTAAGTATTCTTAAGAATACTTTAGAGCAATTTGCTCAGGAGGCTGTGAAGGAAAAACAACCACTACAGCAGAGTTCCCTTTCCTTGCACTGTATGTGGGCGAGTGTATGGAGCTCTCATGCTCTTGTGCACACTTGAGCTCTCTCTCTTTTTTTTTTTTTTTTTGAGGTCTGACTCTCTGGCCCAAAAAATGACCCCAAAAAAAGCCATCTTTTTCTAATTCTTTCTCAAATTCTGACATTTGAGAATGCTTTAGAACACATTTCGCTAGTTTTGCTATCTTAGTGAAGGGGTGCACATATTTCATTTTTATGGTAAATAAAATAGGTTCAACAAGAATAAATAACTTATTTAATTATGTAGTGAGTGGAAAACAAAGAAAATATCCCCATATTACCATAGAAAACTAGCTATATGCAGCCAGAAGAGCTGCTTATTTTGGTTTGACTAGACAGTATACAGTGAGACTGGTATCCCCTAGGGGAGGCTGAGTGCCTGTCCAGGCATACTACCACATTCTAAGAGCTTATCTCCAACTTTATCATTTGAACGTTAGTATATTCAGAAGTGATTGATGCTCGCTTTGGCAGCACATATACTAAAATTGAAACAATATAGAGAAGATTAGCGTGGCTCCTGTACAAGGATGACATGCAAGTTCATGAAGAAGTGATGGGTCTTGCCTGGGTGTGTGTGTGTGTGTGTGTGTGTGTGTGTGTGTGTGTGTAGGGAGGACCAGCTCACATGTTAATCAGACTCACCACTGACTGCTTATAAAATCCCCATGACATTTGGTTAATTTATAATGAAAATACCGTCCTGAGGAGAAGATACTTGGGTTCACTAATCAGTGCAGTATTCCCTATAAGTTACCTCATTTTTTGTTACCTCTTGTTTGAAGACAACAGTAGAAGCAGAATACTATGTGGTGTGTATATGAAAATTTAAAAAAGGAATGGGTGATCAGAGTAAAATGTTTCTAGTTAGAATAGTTGGAAGCATTTCTTTTCTCATTTTTCAAAAGATTGTATTTACTTATTTTTTAGAGGGGGGGAAGGAGAAAGAAAGGAAGAAAAATATCCATCCATGTGTGGTTGCCTCTCGCATGCCCCCTACTGGGGACCTGGCCCACAACCCAGGCATGTGCCTTGACTGGGAATTGAACCAGTGACCCTTTGGTTTGCAGGCCAGCACTCAATCCACTGAGCTACACCAGCCAGGGCTTTTTACCCCTTTAGAGTGATCCTTGTCACATAGACATGTTCATAGTCTCAATGCTTTCTACCTTAGTGTGCTAGAGTTGCCCTGCAAATGTTTGCCTGTATGGTTCTCTTTCCTTGCTTCTCTTATTGACTATTTTCCTGCTTATTGATCCCTTTAGTTGGGTTACTATTTATTCTCTGACAAGCCATTCCTTTCTTTAAGGAGGTCTTACACTAATTATGTATATTATTATTCTACTATGAGGGAGGGATGTGGCCCATAGTTTCAATGTTGCCTCCATTTATTGCCTATGTCTATAATCCTTATACTCCTTAGGTACCGGGAAGCCAGTGTGGAAGTGATGGAGGTAATGTCTCGTTTTGCTGTGATTGAACGTGCCAGCATTGATGAAGCTTATGTAGACCTAACCAGTGCTGTACAAGAGAGATTACAAAAGCTACAAGGTCAGCCTATCTCAGCAGATTTGTTGCCAACCACCTACATTGAAGGGTTGCCCCAAGACCCTACAACAGCAGAAGGGACTGTTCAGAAAGGTACTTCCATAGCATCATTTGCTTCTGCTTCCTGCCTTTGGAACCTGCTTTGCTTGGTCACACTGATATTCTTGGACTGATTGAAAGGAAACTTAAACTGCAACCTGAATGAATTACAAGGACTCATATGGAAGGATATCCAAATTCTTTTATCTTTCCAGGTATATGGATTTTTAGAAGCTCGAGATCTGTATGAAATCAAGTTTCTCTTTAGATTAGGGTAGGTTAGAGTTATCAACAGAAGTCTGACTGAGCATTTCCATCACTTGCAGGCTAATTTATATTATTTTAACTTGCTTTCTTTATCATAAGAAAGGTGAGGTGTTTTGTTTTGCTTTGTTTTTTCTTTTAAGGTAGACATCAAGTACTGGGAGTTGTGCAAAGCCTCTCTCATTTTATTTTACTTCTTTTCCTCTCTCTGGTGATTCCTCCCTCTCCCTCCTGACCTCACACATCCTTTGGCACCACCAGTACTTTTGGTATATCTTAAATATGTATATGTCTTTATAATTATACTGTGTTGCTTTGTGTATGTGCTTCTTAATTTTCTCTCAGTGGTGATTTTATAGCTCTCTCTGTATAGCTGTATTTATGTGTATTTGGTTGCTTTTACTTATTGCAGCATAATGCATAGTGTAGCTCTCCCATGTTTACAGACCATTCGCCTAGTGGTGATCTCACTGATTGCTTCTAACTTCCTACTGTTTACATGATGACCGTCCTCATTCATCCTCTTTGGGACCCGTGCAAGTATTTCTCTTGGAAATGTTTTCATGAGTGGACTGCTAGGTGATAGGGTGTACACATGTACCTAGTTTCACTAAATACTGCCAGTTTGCTCCCAGAATCACTATAACAGTTTCCCCTACCCCTAGCAGAACACAAGAATTCCTCCCCTGCCCCCATCATCAGCAACTGGTATTATCTAATGTTTAAAAATCTTTACCAATATGATGGCTATAAAGTGGTGTTTTCTATTTTTTGGTTGCTTTAATTTACTGAGGTTGAGCATCTTTTCATATACTTGTTAGCCAATTGAGTATCTACTTTCTGTGAATGGCTTAATTGTAATATTACCCACTTTTCCATTGGATTTCATGCCTTTTTTTTTTTTTTGCAGGAGTTCCTTGTGTATCCTAGTGATTAATCAGTCCCTTATCTGTTTTGACATTGCAAACATCTTCTTCCAAGGCTGTCACTCACTAACTTTGTTTATGTCATAATTGTTGAACAAAATTCTTTAGTTCATAAATTTTTCACCTTATAGTTTGTGCATTTTGAATTTCATTTTAGACATTCGTTTTCCACTAGTTCACACATTTTCTTCTCTTTGCCTTGTAGTTTATTTTTAGGTTTTCAATCATATGAAATTCACCTTTTTATTTGATTTAAGATAGGGAGTCACCTTAAGTATTATTTTTCATGTGAACTAGTTTTCCCAACAATTATTTATTAAGCAATTCACTCTTTCTCAACCCCCATATATAAGAGGGTCTTTTTGTAGTATCGCATCAGTTTGTCTACTCCTGCTCCAGAAACACGTCATCTTTATCACTGTTTGTAGTCTGTCATAATATCTGATAAGGACTCCCTTCTGCTTTTATTTTTCAAAATGTTCTTATTTATGCCTCTTTTGTAAAAAGTATTTTATTTATTTTTAGAGAGAGGAGAAGGGAAGGAGAGAGGGAGAGAAACATTAGTGTGTGGTTGCCTCTCAAGCACCCCCTACATGGGACCTGGCCCCCAACCCAGGCATGTGCCCTGCCTGGGAATTGAACCAGAGACCCTATGGTTTGCAGGCCCACACTCAATCCACTGAGCTACACCAGCCAAGACTGCACGTTTATTGTTCAGTATGTATTTTAGAATACATTAGTTGGATTCCTCAAAAAATCCTGATGGAATTATATTAAATTTACGTATTTAGAGAAAATAGTTACCTTAATATTAAATTATCCCATCAGTAACCATATCTCACCGATGTTTTAAGTCTTCATTTATATCCCTTTTAGTATATTAAATTTTTTTATTGATTCATTTTTGAGAGAGAGAGAAACATCAATATGTTGTTTCACTTATTTATACATTCATTTGTTGATTCTTATATGTATCCTGACCAGGGATTGAACCTGCAACCTTGGCATATTGGGATGATGCTCTAACCAACTAAGCTATCCCACCAGGGCACTTTCAATAAATTTTTTATTTTAATTTATTTTATTCTTTATTTATTTATTTTTAAAAAGATTTTATTTATTTAACTTTAGAGGGGAAGGGAAGGAGAGAGGGAGAGAAATATCAATGTATGGTTGCCTCTCATATGTCCCCTGCTGGGAACTGGCCTGCAACCCAGGCATGTGCTCTGACTGGGAATTGAACTGTGATCCTATGGTTCACAGGCCCACGCTCAATCCCCTGAGCTACACCAGCCAGGGCTTCAATAAATTTTTTTTAATAAAAATATTTGATTTACCCGTTGTAGTATGTCAGCTTCTTCTGAGATCTGGAATCTAGTATGTTTTCCTTTTTATTTCTTATCTGAAGTTTTTTTTTTCTTAAACATTTCCCTTAAAAAATTTTTTTTTGAAATATTTTATTTATTTATTTTCAGAGATTGGGGAAGGGAAGGAGAAAGAGTGGGAGAGAAACATCAATGTGTGGTTGCCTCTCATGTGTCCCCTACTGGGGACCTGGTCTGCAACCCAGGCATGTGCCCTGGCTGGGAATAGAACCAGCGACCCTTTGCTTCACAGGCCTATGCTCAATCCACTGAACTATGCCAGCCAGGGCTGAAGTTTGAATTGATATACATAAAATACACAAATTGTAAGAGTACACTTTGACTGATTTTCACAAAGCAAGCCATTTTGAATGAGCCTGACACAGATCAAAAAACAGCCATTTTGATAGGTATGTATCAAAATGTGATAGTGATATCACATTGTGGTTTTAGTTTGCATGCCAATGAAATTGAGCACCTTTTTGTAAGTGTATTGACTATTTAGATTATCTTCTTTCATGGAGTGTATGTTTAAGTCTTTCAGTCACTTTTTGTTGGATATACCTTGTCTCCTCATATAGGACTTTTTTGTGGTAGATGCAACTCCTTTATCAAAAATACACATGGTAAATATCTCCAGTCTGTGGCTTTTTTTTTCCATTCTCTTAATAGTGGCTTTTGATGAACAGAGGTTTTTAATTTAATTTGGTCCAATTTCTTTTCCTTTTCCCTTATGGATAGCATTTCTTTCTTTCTTTTTTTTTTTTTTTTTAAGATTTTGTTTATTTATCTTTAGAGGGGAAGGGAAGGAGAGAGGGAGAGAAATATCAATGTATGGTTGCCTCTCATGTGTCCCCTGCTGGGAACTGGCCTGCAACCCAGGCATGTGCCCTGACTGGGAATCGAACTGTGATCCTTTGGTTCACAGGCCCATGCTCAATCCACCGAGCTACACCAGCCAGAGCTGGATAGCATTTCTTTATGTCCTGTTTAAGAAATCTTTCCCTATTTCAAGGTCATGAAGAAATTCCCTGTCTTATTTTAGAAGCTTTATTGTTTTGCTTTTCACATTTAGTTTTACAATCCATTGTGTAAATGTCTGTAGGATATGAGATGGGATCAAGAATCCTTCTATTATTATATTAATATCAACTATAATGGCTTTATTAAAGCTTTATTTTTTTTATAAAGATCTTGTACATTTGTCATCTTCATAGATGCTTAATTTTTTTATTATATGGTGATTTTTTAATGTACTTCATGATTTTTTTAATATATATATTTTTAAGATTTTATTTCTTTATTTTATAGAGAGGGAAAGGGAGAGAGAAAGAGGGAGAGAAATATCCATGTGTGGTTGCCTCTCATGTGGGCCCCACTGGGGACCTGGCCCACAACCCAGACATGTGCCCTGACTGGGAATTGAACCGGTGACCCTTTGGCTCTCAAACTGCACTCAGTCCACTGAGTTACACCAGCCAGGGCCTATGGTGATATTTTTTTAAACTTTCTACTTGATTATTGATGTATAGGGGAATGATAAGTGATTTTTTAATGAGTTATCTTTATTTACTTTATCTACTTAGCAAAAACTTGTGATATAATGTGCATGAAAGCACTTTAGAAATAAAATGTACTTGGTGGTTTAAAAATATTTTCTTAGACTAGAATAAAATTAGAGCAATAAAAAATTTGCTTTTGTGGTAATATTAGATTATGATGGTTCTAGATATCAGATCTAAGAGAATCTGAGTCTTATATGTTTTTAATTAAATATTATGAACATGGAATTCAACTGGATTTCCCAAAGAATTCTTTCTGTATCTAAAAGCTTTTCAACAGGGTGTCTACACTTTGTTCCTAGACATATTCTAGGGCTTTTGATCATGGCTATATTCAAAACAGTGTATCTGTTCTCCCTTCATTTGTAACATATACTTTTGGAACTATTATTATTCAGAACAGCTTTCAGTAAAAAAAAAAAAAAAAAGACAAGGAAAGAAAAGAAAAGAAAAAGAACAACCTTTAAAATATGGATATTAGCCAAAAGGAAATTGGATACAAATCTATGGCAAGTTAACTTTTTTGGGGAAAAATTAAGGCAATCTGTAATTACTAATAAAAAATACAGATTTCTTTTTTTAATTTAAAAAATTTTATTGATTATGCCATTACATTTGTTCTATTCCCCCCCTTCATTCCCCTCCACCTTGCACACCCCTCCCCCACCATTCCCCCCCTTTAGTTCATGAACACATGTCTCAAGTTCTTTAGATTCTATATTTCCCCTACTATTCTTACCCTCCCCTCTATTTTCTATCTACTGTCTATGCTACTTATTTCCTTACCTTTTCCCCGCTTCTCCTTCTCCCACTCCCCTGTTGCTAACCCTCCACATGATCTTCATTTCTATGGTTCACTCCTGATCTAGCTGTCCTCTTAATTTGCTTTAGAAACAATACAGATTTCTCCAGAAAAACCTCCAAGAGAGTTTAGCTTA